TTGAAGCAGGGCGAGACTACTTTAGCTAGGAGCCTCTTTTCCTTCTGCCCAGCTCCCCGAAAACAACGTTCGACTTGCATGTGTTAAGCATATAGCTAGCGTTCCTTCTGAGCCAGGATCAAACTCAGATTTTGACTATGATTGGGCCGAACAGTGGTAGAACCTGGTGAACCGGGCCTACTACTAAACATTGATTCTCTCTCCTAACCACTCTTAAATATGTTAAATACACTCCATCGATCAAAAACTACAAGCAAGGGAATCAGCTCTTATTGCCGTAAAGGAAAAATAACCCCTTTCCTTTATATATAGTCCGCCAAGGGCCTTCGCCACCTATTCCTTAATTACGTAGTGGGAAAATTTCTCTATGTCAATTCAAAACAAAACAAACGGACGACTGAATCTAAAGTCTACTAGAGAGAAGATTGGTTCGAACGTCAACTACTGATTGCTCTATCCAACCAGCACATACCGTTTGCTATGATATTGTTTTGCGGATTTGCTCATATTGTTTTCTTGCCCGGGCATTGCTGCGGAAGAGTGAAATGAAAAACTCTTCTTGAAGAAGAGGACTCTTCCGCTTGATCTTTTGATACGATGAGGGAACAGGTTTTATGCGTTCTTTGAGCAAATGGGGAAACAAACTGTTGATACAGAAATCTTTAACTGAACTGCCGAAGGCACAAGAGAGACTATAGCCAGGAAGGATAAGCAAAGGAATCCAGATTCAATCGATTGTTTGAAGCCAAGGAGCAAGAAAACGGATGCGCGTGCTAACGCTTTTGCGCTAGTGCGCTCAATCCGTTGCTTGTTCTCGAGCTAGTCCATCTTTCTATACGAATTTCTTGAAAGAATACTTCTCTTATGATCTACTACGATAGTGTCAAGCGGAGGTGGAGAGCACAAGAAAACAGAAATTGCTACGTTAAGCAAGTCACTTCTTCGGCTGGGCATCAACAGACAATCAAGCAATATTGGATTCAGGACGCCATATCGGAATCAGGAAATAGCCACTTAAGTCAATAGCCACTTTAGTCAGTCCATCAGTCTTTCCATATTATATTTCCAGTCAAGTCAGTCAACACTTCTACAATCCAGTCTCTTAACACTAGCTTTACTTGGGAAAGTAGTGAAAGTCCTGCTGCTGGATAAAGATACTGGAAAAAGTCTCAAGTTCCACTAGGCGAGATGAAAAAGTTCAGAACTGGGATGCCAAAAAGAGCCGATTTACAAGCAAAATGAAAAAACTACCAAATTGCCCCATGCTGGCTATCAAGTTTTCAAAAATGGAGTAGATTTTGGAGCCATTTACGAGGGAGAAGCAATTTTCTTTACTTTTGCACATGGTTGGGACAAATGCTTTTCAAAAATGACCCTTGAAAATGCCACTTTCCCTAAGGAATGCAAAATAGTAACTTTTCCTACTAGGTCAGATAGAATGGTGTTTTTCTATACTAAAATGAGTCAAATTCCGATAAAAAAGCGAAAAAAGTTCTTCTCACCTAGTGCACCTTGGTACTTTCCTGTTCCGCCCTTAGAAACCGGGTAAGTAATCTCATATGTTTGAACTGAGAGAGCTTCATTTTCCAATAGTGCCAGGACCTGTGTTCCATATCCATTATCTTTTCATTGTCCTTCTTGTCGAATAGAAAGCAAATAGATGTTCTGCGATAAAGCGTATGTCCTGTATTTCTGCCTTTCATTCATCTTACCATACTTCTTATTTCCTCTGACTGTAACCTGAACCAGCCAGAGTTCAAATTCCGATCGGAAAAGTGAAACATATCTTCCTTAGTGAAGTAGAGCGTTTCAAAAATTCCGTGCATCGCCGGCTCTCACCAGTCCCGATAATTTCTATAATACATAGTAGATAATTTGTGGTGGTAGTTTGTTCAATAATAACTGCCCGAAACGTTTGTGTTGGTGTCAATTTGTCATGGTCTCATGGAGAATGAATCGGTTTGGACTCTAACACGCGTGTTTTTCAGCGTTAATCAAGTCCTAACGTTTTACGATTTATCTTGTACCAAGTTCGTAGCAAACGGATCAGCGTTTTACACGGAGAAGTATTACGCACGTCGTCCGCGTGACAGCGTGATAGCTCAGGGTACCTTAACTTGGAAGGCCTGCAAAGATGATCGACAATTTCGAGGAGAATTGACAAACGAACTAGTGACCTCATCTTGAGCTGTTATCTCAAGTTCTCAACGCATGAAAATTTTGTTGGAACGAATTCAATGCGTGGTTTATGCTGGTAAACTGAAATTGAAGGCTATCATCAAGTCGCAGAACGGCCTGTCAGTTACTAACAACAACAGGGCATGTTTTCAGCTTCAGCCACAGATCATTGGAATTTCTCATAGACAGAATAGCATTACTCACTCTGGACGTTTCAATTTCTATTGCAGCTCGAAACGGATGGGAAGAACAACCATTGCCAACCTTTGCTTTCCTGCTTTTTGTAGCCAACATGACGAATAGCTACTGCAAAACAAACGGATGGCCTGCCATTTAAGAACCAGGGCGTTATTGACCAGACAAAGTTTGTCATTGTAATATTTCTGATTTGGTGGACCATCAAAGTGTCCCTACAGCATTAGCTATGAGTAGCATTACAATTGCAATGGAAGGTTATCTAGCTTATTGCCTTTTTCTTACTACAGAAAAGGGACTACATCAGTGTGCTTAATGGAGCACTTGACATCAACTTGAACTCTGAAGTGGTGTCCAAATGGATACCTCCTACATAATTCATTCCATATTAACTCAAAAGAATTATTCAGGTAGGCTGGACTCATCACTTATCAATATACACTACTCGTCTACTCCCTCTGTTTAATATTATAAGTCGTTTTGATTTTTTTAAAAAAATTAACTAAGTTAAGAAGTTTTACTAGGTTTATAGAAAAATACAGTAACATTTATAACATTAAATTAGTTTTATTAAATCTACCATTAAATATATTTTAATAGCTTCTTTGTTTTATGTTGAAAAATTATTATATTTTTTTTATAAAATTTGGCCAAAGCTAAATAAGGTTGACTTAAAAAAAAAGTCAAAACGGCTTATAGTATGAAACGAATGTTGTATATATCAATGTATCTGGTGTCGGGTGCCCCATATCCAATCAAACATAAATAAGAGAGATCTCTGAATGACAACATACGGAGATACGGACAAGCCCTTATCTGACAATGATGCAAAGCGGCATAGACAACTGCCTGATCTGAAGACATCACTAGAGAGAAGACAAGTTCACTGAAATGCATCAATGCGAGAAGTTTCAGAGAGGTGAACAATGCCACTACTGTTGGTGTCATTATCATGCAACATAAGCAAGTGAGACTGGACTTCACTGTTGCGTGCACACAAGGGACATTACACAAATGCATATCTATAAAAAAAAAGAAATGCAGATTATGCAGCCCTACGTAATTAAACTATCTAAAAGCAAGTAGAAAGTATGTGTTTATGATCTGTCATTAACTCTTCCTTTAATCTAGCCTTGCTAGTTGGGTGAGATTAGGGGAGCAGAACATAGAGGCGACAAGGAGTGTTTCACTGACATGCAGGGCCTGGAGCATGAAGCCGACAGGTTTAGACCACATTTTAGTTATAGTTTAGTTGCTGGCCAGCGAAGATTAGCTAGATGGAAAGCAAAGACTTAGCGTGCATGCTCTGCAGTGTGTTCCTTTCAGTGTCAGAAAAGGGTCGGCGTGTTGATCAGTTGCAGTTGCAGAAGGCAGATAGGCAGATGCCTCGCTCTTCGCGTCTTCGTTCGGTCGGTGGAATGTGCAAGTTAAGCTAAGGATGGCGATGGGTGAACCATCACGTAACAAGACATCAACTACTAGCTTCTTTGCAAGTTGCAGCTAATGGTGAGTATCAAGCTTCGTCCTGGCAACATGTGGTGTAGCTCAAGTGGTCAAGCCTTCTTGTGTCCGCTCATGGCAAGAATCCGTTGTGCCAGTGCTGTTTGCTGAACTGAAGCTGCATGGTTCAGGTTCAGGTTCTCTCTATCCAAAACTCCAAATCTGTGAGCTTCTTATCAGCAAAAGCAGGCGTACGATACTCAGATCAGAGTCTCACAGAATGACTAGCTAGATCTGGATCTTGGGACCTCATTAATTGTTTAGAGATTCTTGCTCATCTGTAAAGCTGCTCAGGGATGGGCAAGTTGGCCACGCCCTTACCTCTTCCAAGTTAAACGACATACTACTACTGCTAGTACAGTACTCTCTCCGTCCCAAAATGTAACTATTTCTAGCACAGTGTCTTATCTCAAAATGAAGCTATTTCTTCACCTACCTCCTCCTCTCAACCAATCACAACTATTCTTCTTCACCTACTTTCTCTTTTCAACTAATCACACACTTCCTCCAATCATTCTCACATACTTTCTTAATACCCGTGCCAACCTCAAAAATAGCTTTATTTTGGGACGGAGGAAGTATGTGATTATGTCCACTCCATACTGAAAAGTGGCTTGAGCCTCTGAATGATTTTGTTCTTGCTACATGACCTGGTTGTTCATACAGAGTTTACATACTGCCCTTGTGTTTTCACTGATCTTCCAGTGCGAGAGAGAGAATGAACAAATCCTTCCTACTTGTATCAGCTAGAAATTCATTTCGTATCAAACCTTCCCACATTAGGATTCTTTGTATCAGCTAGAAATTCATTTCGTATCAAACCTTCCCACATTAGGATTCCTTGTTAATAGTTGATTCCGATCTAATTTCGTATTAAGCTTTATCGATTCCGACCTAATTTGAACTTTCGCGAAGGTATAACCAAGAGAAATTGATTAGGTCCAGGTTCTCCTAACTTTGTCTTGATTTTTTTCCAACTCTGTATTAACTAAATTTCAAGTTTGAACAAAACGTAGAACGGCCCGGGTTTATGCAACATGTTATACAGCTGAAGACACAAGAAGCAGGGGTTAATGTCTAGCAAAGTTCCTTAAAGAGAGATTCAAAAAAGTGCACATCGCTCAGTATAACAAGGGCAAAACTGAAAAGCAAAGATCGCCAAAAACTGTTTTCTCTATATCTTTAGCTCATCCTTGGAGACATGGAATACATGCAGAACAAAACAAATTCGACAGGAGCTGGTATCAGGCTATCAGCTAGTAGAGATGGCATTCAACTACTGAAAGGAACACATCAAAAAATTCGGTTCCCTTTTCTCTCACTTCTACACATTCCACTTATTTCCTTGCTCAATATAATCTTAAACACCAGCATTATCGGGGTTAGAACACCCTCGCAACCAATTGTGTAAAACAGTGTAATGCTTCCAGCTTAATTGATCACATAAATCAGGTAATAAGATAAATTGAGCAAATAAAATTGACCTTCTTCCTTTGGGTGGTGGCTATTGAGAAAATTGCCAAAAACCCTCGGTCAACCGAATCCAAAGGTTATTGCATGCAAAAAAGTTGAATCTCATCCGACTTCGTGGCTGTCCAAATGACAGGCACTTTTTCTCTGGATGGAATTACATGGTGCGCTCTCTGATGACTATATTTTGTGGCTGATCAGAATAATGTCAGCCATATTTGTTCCAAATCAGACAGCAGTTGCTCTTTCACAAGCTTTGTAGTAAAGTGTCTTCTGCACATAGAAGAGCATGTATGCCTGAGAGGTTCTGACAGTATGCTCTTCAACTCTGGTTACCCAGGCATCATCACATTTGTACCAGTGATTGTTTAACCTGAGATATGTCACATAATGGCCAGCTTCTAGCTTACCACTATGCATGATCACCGCAAATATTTCAAATTCTGATGAAAATTCAGAAACTGAATCTGCATCACTAGCTTCTGATGGAAATATACGGTTCCCAAATCTGCTTCTGAGTATAGAGGACGATAGATATGGCGCCATGTCAAGAGAAAAAGGAAACTGTAAACAGTGATCAACCTTCCTTGACATTTTCTTAACTGATGAATGCTCAAACCTCTTAATATGAAAGCATGAAACCAATGGAAGCCTCCGAATGGACATTTGCTTCAGGGACTCTTGCCTCTCCTTGCAACGTTCACAGAAGAACTTCTGTTCAGCATCCAACCGCTCAGCCCTTGTAAACCGCTCCAAACATCTCATGAGTGTTGATACCTTGGTATTAGTGCCACCTGAGCTTCGCTCTCCATTCCGCACATGTACCTTTGGGTTTGCAACACCAAGAGAATTGTTATATCCAGCATCCAAGTCTAGAGAGATGTCCATACAGGGTTCAAAAGTTGTTGATGTGAACCCACAATGTGTGCAGGTGACATCTGATCTCAAGATGCCAGAAAATACCCTGTGTGCAATGCAACAATCTCCATGGCCTATTAGGGAAAAAAATACACATAATGGTTAGATCTATAACAGCTCATCTGCCTCAATATAAATCATAGTTCAGCCTATCAAAAGCAAGATAGAATATGTTCTCCACTACAACAAAAAAGAGAAAAAACACATTTGTCCAATTTGTTCCCCAATATCCAAATAGTACAGGACTACCATTTTCCACGACTTATCCTGTTTTCGTTTTTAGGGTGTAGAACCTACTGTAGAGTCATCCTCCAAAGAAGAGTAGGAGTGACAAATAATAAAAATAGTACAAAAGCAGCCACAAATGTTCACTATGCACCACACTACCAGCAACAGATGGATTTAGATATGCTTTTTGCTTCAACCAAAAATAAAAATAAAAATAAAAATAAAACTGGTATTGATTCATTCTTGGCTCAAGGGTGCACTGTTTTCACAATAAAAGGGTGGATAGAGTCATCCTCCAAAGAAGAGTAGGAGTGACAAATAATAAAAATAGTACAAAAGCAGCCACAAATGTTCACTATGCACCACACTACCAGCAACAGATGGATTTAGATATGCTTTTTGCTTCAACCAAAAATAAAAATAAAAATAAAACTGGTATTGATTCATTCTTGGCTCAAGGGTGCACTGTTTTCACAATAAAAGGGTGGATATTCTTCTTTTCTTTTCACATATCAGTTCAGTTGAATAGATGGAAAAGCTTTAATTTAAATAGTAGCAGGAGAGAAGCTAACTACCTTGGGCAAGTGATTTGTGTTGATCATCCTTTATATTTTCATGGATATGGTCAAGGATGGAGATAAAAAATTCATGTGCATCCTGTTGCTCGTAGCTCGCAAGATTTGATGCATGCTGCCACCAGCTAACAAACATAACGACAATAATCAGAAGAAAAACAATCACTTTAATTCATGAACCAGAATAAAGTAGTATGCCATGTTACTGTGCAAGTCCAAGTTCGTCAAACCAGATCAGCCGCAAAAAAAGACTTCACATATTTAAATTTCACATAGATATAAACTAAAGTTTAAAAATATTACTTCGGCTTTTTTTAGAACACCATTACTTTGGCTTGATAATTACCCTTTGTGTCACATAATGTCACACTATGATCACAACAGTTTGCTGAATACCCATAGGGCATAAACAAGAATATTACGATGAACGAATTGTAAAAACATATCCTGGTAAAGTATCAGCAGTGCTAGCAATAACTTATGTACCTGCCACATACTTGTACACTATCCTTCGCAGCAGCAAGATATGATGTCATTGCAGAAAATTTTAACTTAAATTATGCAATTCACTCATATGACTTGGCCCATATCCAATGATAGAGCAAATAGCTTCAAATGCACCTGATAAGAAGGTGCTCTGAAGAATTAAAAACTGGTCATGCATTTTGGAGTACTTGTACTTGATACATGAACATAGCTCAACAAATTCTAAGCATGCGAAATGTACTTAAGACCATATGACATTTTATCAATCAGGTCATGTGCATCCAAACGTGAAACCGTTACCCTTTCTAGCGAAACATATGGAACAGATCTCGCCCTTTTAGTAGCATATCTTGCTCACATCATCCCATTTCATGCTAACTGATAAGTAGTTCCAAATTGCAACCTACATAATCATGATCTACGTCAAACAGTTTCAAGGCATAGCGTACAAACAACACTATCATTTGCAAGAGACTGATACAATTCGATCCCAAACTAGTTACAATACATGACGCACCCATTTCATATAACGGATTCATCTTAATAACTTTCCAAGTACGCAACGAACCCAACATTAAAAAAGCAGCACGTTGCTCAAAAAACACCCAACGACATCAACCCAATGCAAACAGAGCGCTAGATCCAGACCTATAGAGGAATTTGGCGGGGCTGTAGGGCGTGCGCTCCCCGGAAAAGGCGGCGGAGTAGATCTCGTCGAGATCGCACGCCAGGCACGCCGCCTTGTCGTTTGCCTCGGCGGAACGGCGCCTCATGGGCGTCTGGCGCGGGCAGAGGTAGCGGTTGTGCCGATCGCCGAGGAAGTAGTTCCGGAGCGGCGGCGCGTGTAGCAGAGCCTGGAGCACGGAGTTCATGAAGCACGTGTTGCCTAGGTTGTTGAGCCCGCGGAGCCCCGCGGGCGCGGCGGCGGATGCGGAGGTGGTGGGATCGGCGGAGCTGATGAGCGCGAATTCGGCCGGATCTGGTGCCCAGGCGCGGTACTCGACGCGGCGGCGCTTGCGGGGCGCGGCGGGGGAAGGGGAGGGGGAAGCGGATGCCGATGGGGGAGGAGGGAGGAGGACTTGGCGAGGACGACGGCGTGGTCGAAGTCCGGATCGTAGACCTGATCCCCGCACGCCCCGCAGAAGAGCTCGGCGCGGTCGACGTCGACGGCGATCTGGTGGCCGCCGGATGTTGAGGCGGAGGCGTTGGAGGCGGCGTTGGTGGGGCAGAAGACGGCGGCGCAGTGAGAGTGCAGGCGTAGAGTGCGGGACGAGGAGGAGGTGGGGGAGGAGCAGGGGGAGCAGCGGGGGAGCTCGCGAGTGCTCGCGGCGGATCTCGGGGCGTGCCGAGCGGGCTGTGACGCGGAGTGCAGCTGGCTGGAGTGAAGCGGAGTGGAGCGCGTGGTGTGGCGGTACGCGGCGAGGTGCGGGCACGGCGGCGGCGCGGACGGGGTGGTCATCGGGGCGGGGAATGTGGGGGATGAGGCGGTGGGCGCGGGAGTGGGAGGCGAGCGGTGCGGGGATGGGGGGGTGGAGTGGCGGCGGCTGCTGGTGATGGCGCGGGGGTGAGGTGGAGGTGACGGTCGGGATGGTGGTGGTGGATCGTATATCTTCTCGTGGACTCGTGGGTCGCGCTGAGCAGAGGCGTGCACGGCGATCTTGGATGGGCGCGTGGCGCGGGTGATCACTGATCAGGTAATCAGGTTACTACTGTGGTGTGTAGCGCTAGGCACAGCAAATTCAGGCGACGGTCATCCTATCAAAGTTCGGGCTAACACGAACGGAAATTACACAAAATTATATGAATTCGAAACCTTATATAGGGTGTGTTTAGTTTTTAAAAAAAAGTTGAAAGTTTGAAGAAAGTTGAGAGTTTAAAAAAAAAATTGAAAGTTTACATGTATAGTTTTTTATGTGATATGATGTGATGGAAAGTTGGGAATATAGGGAAAACTAAACACAGCCATAAACTATACTTGAGAAACAGAGATCAAGATTACACCATTTGCAAAGAGAGATGCGAATAATTTAGAGTTGACTCTTATCACTTCACGGAGACTTGGGAGATACTACCAGCAAGTTCTTCGTCTGATATTCTCTCATGCGTAGAGGCTTCTTGAAGACTTGAACTTTAAAGCGCATGAATGCATGATCATACCCATGCTGTATGTTGGCATTTTTGCCAACAGTGGCATATGTAAGGTAAAAAAGACTCTGCATCAGCATTTGGCCATTTGCTTTGACGAGTTACCGTAGCTGGGCTCTTTGGGGGAAAGGTAAATCACGCAAAACATTTTAGCACTATGCCACGCTAGCCGTATGAATGAATCGATTTTCACATCAAATTCAGGTCACTCTGAATCTGCAAGCATGAAATTGGCCGGTGGCATACAGCCTGAACGTCTACGCTACAAACTAACAGACCAATTGTACTGGTTTGCAGTCGGTAAGTCAGCAGAGAATAAACCTACAATATATATCACGACAGGGTAATTAAATACACTTCATATCATTAGATGATTTGAACTTAAAATTTTTTACTATTCTTCTAATATATTTTTTGCGCGTTCGAAAAAAAAATCTTTACAAAACGAAGAGGGGGAGGCGGCGGCGGGGTGGATGTGGGGATGATGGAGTGGCATTGTGGCAGCTAGTGATGCCGCGTGTTGAATTGTTGATGGATGGCATTTGGGTCATGGAATGATGGAACTGTGGGCTGGTGGATCGCTCTGGACTAGCGCTGTCAAAAAAAAAAAAAAAAAAAAAAAAAAAAAAAAAACTCGAGGCTCACGAGCTGCTTAGGCTTGACTTATCCTTGGCTCGATTCGAGCTTAAGCCCGAGCTCGAGCTGAGCTCGAGCTTACAACGAGTCTAGTAATATATTTTTTTTGTTATTTAATAAATTATGAGATCGAAGATGTTATTTGTATATCTTGTATTGGTATCATATATTTATTTTTTTTTCTCTTCTATTAATATGATATGATGAACTAGAAATTAATTATTTTTTATAGATTATCCTTGAAATATGCATTGCTCTACTAAAAAATCAAGCTCGAGAGCCTAGGCAGGTGAGCTCGATTGACTTCGGCTCGCTGACAACCCTAATTTGGACTTCAGGTGCACCACCGTGCACACTAGATCGGGATGATCTACTCTTTTTTTTTTTATTACTTCATCCCAGAAACAGCGGCAGAGAAAAAAGAAAAAGAAATTGAGCCCGGACAAATTTCAATATAACTAGTATTTGCTATAAAAATTTTACAATCAATTTACTCATCAATATTAAATATTAAAATTTAGTGGAGTTTTTATCGGTGAGCCCGGGCTAGCCGGCGGTGGCTCTGCCACTGCCTAGAAATGTTTTTATTTTGACCCACTATATATGCATCAATACAAAACTAAAAAGACTAATAGTCTTCACTTTAGCAAACTCAAATACATTTGTCATCACTTTAAGAAAGTACCAATTTATGTGTCCCTTGCTTTAGTAAATCCCTATACATTTTTCCCCGTTTTAGCATAGTCTAATATATTAATTGATCGTACCTATCGATAACGAGACACCCGTGACAACTTTATTAATTTTAAGATATACCGACCTAACCTTTTGAAGGTGTGCGTGTGTATTTATAGGTGTAAGTGAGCTTGCGTTGTGAACGCCTGCATGAGTATTGCGTTTCTTGAAGGAAAAATACAGAGAATGTAAGATAAATGTGATAAGGAAAAATGAAGTCGTTTTTTAGACAGAGAGAGTACTACTCCTATGAGAGAGAATAAACTTAATTATTTTTGAGTTAGCGTGAATATTACACAAGTTATTGAAGAAACACGAGCCTGAAAGACAAATTATGAAGACACCAACTCTATATTTCTTCAAAAGAACAAACAAATTTGCTGTATCGCGTGTATCCAATTCTCCATTTCTTTCTTACACCTTTGTAAGTTAGTTGAAGTACCTTTCTAAAAAAAGTCAATTGAAGTGTTGAGCCAAAAATTCCCGTTGGTCCCTGAATAGGTTTAGGTCCAGAAATCCAAAGGATGAAAACAAGTTATGTTTGAGAGCATTTTTACGGTCCTGCAATTTATACCTCCTGGTACTGGTACCTGTAGGTACCAAAACAAATCGAACAGTACAATTCCGGAGGGGTACAATCGGGAGGAAAAATAACAGAGTAGGTGGCGCATAGGAGGAGCCGTCGGGGATGGTGGAGGCAACGCCGCAACGAAGGAGGAGGAGGAGGTGGCGACGGCGGAGTAGGTGTCACCGGTGAAGGAGGCGACAGCTGCGGCGGCGGCAAAGCGGCGCTAGCAAAGCAAGAGGTGGTAGCAGGGCGGCGAGGTGGCGAGGCGACGGAGGCGGAGGAGGTGGTGACGAAGGAGATGCGGCACAACGGCTGTGAAGGAGATGGCGCACGCCTCCAGCTCTATCGTTCCGGTCGTAACTCGCTCATCCATCCGTACGTAAAATTACATTCTTGCCCCTCTACCTCTATTTATCGCGAAGTACCAATTCAGGAGCAGAAGTGGTACATAGCGGTACCTAACTCTGTTAGTCGTTGGATCTGGCTCGATCCAACGACCATGATTTGGTACCTAGCGGTACCGTTGGATGGTAAAAATCCTCATGACAAGTGAACATTCATGTTCACTCTTCCTACTTGTCTGAAACTCTAGATGCCAAAAATTCACCAACTAAAGGCCTGTTTGGCACAGCTCCAGCTCTAGCTCCACCTCTCCTGGAGCTGGAGCTCAGCCAAACAGTTTCAGCTCCACCAAAACTGGGAGTGGAGTTGGGTGGAGCTCTCTCACAAAATGAACTAGAGTTGTGGAGCTGGGTTTAGACAGCTCCACAACTCCACTCCAGACCCAACTCCTGAAGCTAAATTTAGGAGTTAGAGCTATACCAAACAGGCCTTAAATGTTTCACTTCACACCACGAAATGACACCCCTTAAGAAGAAGTGACGAGCTTCTGGTTAGCATTGTACTGAAACAAACCTGTGAACTGCTTTAACAAGCAAGATCAGAGATCTGACGAGATCGCTCACTGTCACAGTTACTGTACATGGCTTACTTCGGCGGATTAACATAAGCCAGTATGCCAAAAACGGTTTGCACAATTGTGCAGATGAGGACAATGACAGTCGCACTCGCAGCCAAAGCCAGCCATGGATTGCTGAAGTGGTTTAGCCAGAGCCATGCCATCCACCGATTGATGAGACTTTGATAGTGAGCTTCCATAGTCTGGCACAGAGTTTTAAGTAGTAGTTACCATTGAAATCAAAAACCACGTCTTTGCTGAGCATGGTGAAGAGATCAGACACCCTTTCATCGCTATCAAGCTGGTGCACAATGATTTTTCTCTGAATAAGCAGCGTAACGTCCTCTGGCATGCTTATAAGTTGAGACAAGAAAACAATATAAGCAGTGAAGTCATCTCCAAATTGAGGGCAGGTTTGTTCAAACGCAATAAGGTTCCTGAAAAGACTCCCTGTGTACTCATCAACAACAATACACGGAATGTCCATGGAACCATTGCTAAACCAAATGTCTAGCAGAGAATGGGGTTTTAATTTATCATATTCCCGTTTCTTAAACTTTATTCCGGCTTCTAGATATTGTGCAGCTCGTCGCCAACGATTAAGCTGATCCCCTCCTTGTGCCAGATCCACTTCGTTCTGGAATGATGAATCATGTCTATTGTTTTCTAGGTAGTAGTTGATTCTGAAATACTTCCGTCCAAAACTGAGGAAACTGTGAATGTACTGAGGCACAAATTTATAGTTGTGATCTTCCTCCAGCTTCTGACTCGGTTGGAAGTAAATATGACACAGGTGAAGCAAATGGTGAAAGTCTTTCGGTCTGTCAGAATCAGTAATTGCTTTTGGATACCAACGCAAAGCAGCCTCGACATACTTAGCAAGGTCATCTGTCAAACATTGTGATGAAGCACAATTATCTGTAACAAGTTCAAATATTGTTTTCACAATAAAAAATGGTATCTGATTTTCCAGCAATAATAAATCGTGATTGACAAACCTCACAAACCAATGTCCGCCCTTTCTGCAATCTTGTTTATATCCTGCGCCCTCTTCTTCCCCCACTTGGACGCTCTCTCGACATGCCTCATCATCCTCACCCTTAGGACGCTCTGGCTGTTCCCCGCAAACAGCCCTTGCGTTTTCAATATCTTCGCTCTCATTATATACTTGTCAATTTTGCATGAATCTCTGCACACCCCCGAGAGAACACAGAATGAAGCATCCATCAAGTAAGAGCATATGCAGAAAGGCCTCGTTATCCATCTTGGTATCTTCAGAATAACAGCTCCTTGCACGTTTTGATAACCCCAACCGCTGTTAAGTAATCCAGCAAATTCCTCTTACAGTTCAGTTTAACGATTACATCCACATAGCCCCATTTTACTTTCTCCATACTTTGCAGATCTGCAGATCCATGATGGTATGGACCAACTGATACAATACAGGGCTCGTATGAAAATCTGTCAATGTCACGAATATGTTGCTGAACCTTGTAAATTAAGCATGATTCTGTTCCATTATCAATATCAGTGCCCAGTGACCAATAATAATCAAGTTCTTGCGTCATGGAGTTAACCAGTTCACTCATGTTTATTTGCTTGTTTTTACTTCTCTGAACTTGCCGCATCCTCACCTGTTGAGGTATCTTTCATGGTTAAACTGATCAGCAATACTAAACATTTACTATCGAACTCCTAAGATGTGAAAAGGCCAATTATACAGAGGGAATATTATATAGTTGAATATCCGGCATAAAAATAATAAAGCATAATGAGCAACTTTTCATCAAAGATTGCAATAATTCAACAATAGCACATTGATTCATCCTGAGTGCACCTAATATCTGGCCAGGGAAAAAAAAGTTGGAACCAAACTTAGTAATGGTAAGGGCTATGAAAAAGTTTGTCATATCCAATATTTACCACACAAATATATGGATCACAATTTACACATACTCCATCCGTCTCATACTATAAGTAGTTTTGATTTTTTTTTTCTAGTCAAACTTGTTTTCAGAATAACATAGGAGTATTTTCAACACAAAACAAACATATTATCAGAATATATTCAATACTAAATTTAATGAAACTAATTTGGTATTATAAATGTTGCTAAAATTTTCTATACATTTATCAAACTTAACAAAGTTTTTTTAAAAAAATCAAAACGACTTGTAACATGGAACAAGGGAGTAACAAATACTGAATCAAACGGAAGAAACAATATAGGAGTATTAAGTATATAAATTATGCACTAGCAGTAAATTTTAGCATTTTTCCTATTTTAAACTCATACATGTTTGTTCTGTGTTTCAATCTCCATCCTTGAACAGAAGTATACGACAAAATAAAACAAAAATCGATATTCAAGACATTCTCCATCTCATTTCAATAGATGCCATATCTCTTTTCCTTTCATATTTCATCCATAAACGTATTAGAATTAAACGGGGATTACTATCGACGGGTAATATAAAGGAGAACGAAGGAACCTGTGAAACGCAGACGAAATTCTCACGATGGGATGCGAGCCTGTTGAGGAAAGGTAGGGTTATTGCTTACAGGTGCCTGTAATCCCTCGACGAAATGATACGGACGACGATGCTACAGAAATGCGTTTATTCGGTAGGATTTCTCTTGGGAGCTGGAAAATCTTCCGGAAAAAGTATCAGCAAAATTCGGATCAGCCGGATCCAGGCGGGCTACAGTCATATAGATTGATTGGTTAAGCCAATTAGGAGCGGTACCTGATCATCAACACATCTCATTATCTCTTGCGGTTGCGGATGGCTAATTTTACGGTCGCTCGTGGGCTCCCATCGCTCACTGCCCGATCCGCGCATGACGTTTGTGACTGTGATGACTCAGGGGAGGCGAGGAAAGAAGGGGACTGGGGAAAGAGGAATGAAGGGTAAGTTTTCAGATGGAATGCACGAGTTTCACAGTGAATTTACATGGAAGATATCGGCCGCGTCTGAGATAGCTGAAATTGATGCAATAATCTGTTTCTTTTATAGCAACCTGAGGTATAAATGAATCAATAACTACTATAAAGTTGAGAAAAGTTACTTTGCAAAAAATATTTCGAAAGAATTACTATAATGCATCATTTTTTTTGCGAGGATAATGCATCGTTTTTGGGTATATAAACTTTTTTTTTGCACAAAATGCATAATTTAAGGCATAGGAAAGGATACAAACAAAAAAAATCAAAATTACGCGAAATGAGCGTAACTTTACTTATTAGATTCGTTCTAGTGGAACTAACCGGATGAGTTCTGGAGTTGATATGAGTGTTCGTATTTATGGCTAATTATTCTTTTAGTGGTAGGCGACCTTTAGTCGACACGGAGGCGTCATGGTGAGTGGTGACTTCGTAAATCTCAAGATATACAAACGCAGACTTCTGGAGATGCTCATAGTGATATGTGTGCGTGTGTGTGCATGCATTCATAGGAGTGAGTGTGCGGTTGTGCGCGTGTTGTGAGCATCTGCGTTTGTACCGTGTTTCTTAAGAAAACTACAATAGGAAATCCAAAGTTATTCTTATTCATCTCAAGCGGTTATTTATTTTCGGATCTCGGGATGGTTATTACCATGTCATTTCAAACTAGCCCTAGGCACCATCTGTAAATTTCTATTTTTAGCAAGTTTACTATTGCCTGTAAATTTGAACAAATATTGGCTAATTTTTTAAACATAAAAATAATAATTTTCATATTTTTTTAGACAAGTTTTAAATTTTAGGAATATATGTTTAAATACATAGCCTCAGTAGCACCATAGGTAATGGGTTCGACTTCCCATGGAGTGAATTTTGCAAGATTTAACGGCTTTGTGCTTTCAGTGGTAGGCGACGTACCCGTCGACAGCGAGGTGCCTGGGTGATGTCAATCTCCAGGATGGATTTACCGGCCCAGTCTTCGAAGATGCTCATAGGGGTAGTGTTTGCGTGCGTATGTTCATAAGGGTGAGTGTGCGTGTGTTGTGAGTGTATGCGTTGTACTGTATAATTGTAACGCTCCGCTTCTCGTGAGATGTAATTGTATATATATATATATATATGTATAGACATATACATGTCTATATATATATATAGACATATACATATATACACATATATACATATACACACATATATATACACACACATACATATATATATATATATATATATTCATTAACATATATATGAATGTGAGTAATGCTAAAAAGTCTTATAATATGAAACGGATGAAGTAATTAGGTTACTTGGTAGAACCAATCGACCTGGGTACAAGTTCTACACTTGACACGGGTACTCGTATTTACGGTTAATTATTCTTTCAGTGGCAGGCGACGTACTCATCGACAGTAAGACGTCATAGTGACTTTTATCAATTTCAAGATATATCGACCAAGTCTTTTGAAGCTACTTATAAAGGTAAAGTGTACGTGTGAGTGTACACGTGTTATAAACGCCAGCATTTGTACCATGTTTCTAAAAAATTATAGTGTCATGTCGTAAATGTCACAAATATATAGTTTCATAGAGCAAATTTTATCAGGTTTTGCAAAATATATTTCGTCCCGTTTAGAGCTCGCGAAGAGGCGGAGATATTAGCAGGCCAAATCCCGACACGCGTTACACTATAGGCCTTTTAGAAAACATATTTTACTAGTCGTCCTCCGGACCAATGAGCTCCACCCTTAATTTCAGTCTGGTCTGGTTAAATTCCAAGATTATAGAAAACGATTGAACCGAATACTCCATACCTCCTTCGTGGGAGCATAATTAATAAGGCTGTGGGGTGTGGGGACTGGGGAGAGGGGGCTAAGAGCAAGTATAATACTATAGCCAATTAATGACTCCAAATCATCTATAATTAATCTAATAGCACATTCATATAATTGTTAACTATAAAAATATACTACACCATTAATACCGGTCCCACCTATCATACACACATAATGTTTTGGAGTCCGTGTTGCAGCCGGCTACAAATCTGTAGCCGCTTTCTTCTCTCTCTTTTATCTTTTCTTCTCGATATGTGGTTATAACTGGCTTATAACTTGCTATTGTACCTGCTCTAATGTGTGCCTGCGCAAACACCCCTCCCCCGCGCATCCCCTCTCTGGTACTGTACATATGTATATATTTTATATTCATAGGTATAAATTTTACATACGCGTATACAAAATATATACGTATGTATGTATGTGAAGTGTATATATATTTTATATACATACATAATTTTTTACGTATAAAAATATATACATATACAATGTATAAAAAAATGTGTCGTTCCATCTCCCCTCGCCCACGTGCACGCCGACCCACTCGCCTCTCCCAGCGTGCCACGTGGCTGGTCGCATGGTGAGCGTGACACATTCCTATGCGCGAAATGGGGATTTTGGTGTTGAGAGGTATGGGTTGGGGTATGGGTGATTCCCAACCCATACCTCTGGGGATTAGTGTATAATTAATTACACATAAACTAAAATAACTTGAAAAATATGTTAGTATTATTTTTAAAACAAGTTTTCTATAGTTTTTTTTTAAAAAAACATATCGTTCAATTATTTAAAAAGCACGCATGCGAAAAATGAGGAAGAAGAAGTTAGGAAATGGATAAAAGAACACAGCCTAACGGTGTTGGAGAGTGCTAGAGGGGATTGGAGCAATTGTTTTACTCTGTTATTATGTGAAGAAGAGTGGAGTGCGGCGGAAAAATAATAAAACGGTGTTGTGCGTGTTGGAAAACAGAAAAAAAACGAGAAACCGGGCTCCATGAGGCGCGCTACTAATCGAGCGTAGCACTGCGCGATTAGCGATTTAGCGCTACCGTAAAAACGGTTCAATCACCAGTTTGACTACGAATCTACGATTGTTCAACTCTATTTTGCCAGTTTTTTCTGCATTGGATGGCTACCATTCGGTCCATTACATGGATCATCCAGGAGGCATCGTTGGGTTATAACTAGTTTTATCATCCATCGCAATACCACATTTAATTAAACGGAAACATAGTAAACGAGTGGTGATAAGATCGTAAAACAAGAATTTTGTGTCTCTCTCACTCTTCCTTTGCTTTTTATTTAAGCGTTCCGACCATAGTTCATCAGCAGTTCGACAATACAGAGAAAATGGCAGATATAGAAAGATATTTTGATCATCTCAGCGACGTCGCATGCAGCAAAAGCTGTGGTTGATTTAGCAGGTTCGTGAGCTGCACGGTGCAGGGCGCGTCGGCCAGACAAAATTATTGGGCCCAGTCATGACTATTTTCTCTTCGGAACTGAATCCGGGACCTTGAGCTGTCAAGAAAAAGAGAGTCCAGCGTCAGGTATGAGGTGTGCAAATACTCTAACATTTAAGCGAGTCGAAAGAATCAGAAAAAAAAAGATTAAGCGATTGTAATAGAACAATGAAATGCTAACCAGTCGTGGGCTTGTATTCGGTCATCTTCTGCACAGTTGACGCTGAGTAGACGTGACCCGTTTCTTCAGGAAAAGAGTTTAGGAGGTTATCCGGAGACCGTGTGGCAACAGAAACGAGCATATTGGTTGTGAGCAAAAACATGGCAACTGCGAACGCTGCTTTGACAACCATCTTTCGCTGCAAGGAAGTGAAAACGAGATGATGAAATAAGCAGCTCGCATGCCTATTTATATAGTAATGTAAAATGTGATCCCAACTCTAGTCACATGGTATAGTTTCGATCAAATGCACTTAGCATAGCGAACTAGGGGGAATCAAATATCTAGTAGATTCTATTTAAAGCATGCACGTGGGAAAATAAAGGGACCCCCACAATATTCTTAGGGGCTGTCCAGATTGTAGCCAAAATAAATCTTACCAAATTTTTAAATTGCCAAAATTTTGGCAGAATTTCTTATGTATTTATCAAAGTTTGACAAAAAAAAACTAAATGGATGCGCATATTCGGCAATTCTACCAAAAAAATGATATGGTTTGAAATGGCATCAATCTGAACAAACCCTTTAGTTCACTATTGCTAAATAAATAATTTGTCCTGTTGCTTAATATGTAGAATAGAAGTCCCAGAAAATGATGTTAGTTTCAATGGAGGGTAGTAAATTTAGTACAAATATTACACATGCAAGCATACCATCATGTAAAATTGTGAGTAGTTTCTATTGCAATGCTGCACAAGAGAGCTATATATTCCTAAAAGACTTCTTATGTTTGTTATATTAAACTAAAGTACATAAAAGGTTAAAAGAAATCATCAAGTTTGCTCTCAAGGATTAGAAATTACGAAGGTTATGAGCAAAAATTAGTTCTACACTGTTGATTGTAGTGGCCTAGATTCCAGTGGTATTGATTGATACAAAAATGTTGAAAGAAGTACAATTTTATTTTAAACAACAAACACAGTAATTGCACACATTATAATTCTAACTCTAAATACAAACATGTAATGGTGTCAAGTCACGCAATTGCAAAGGGAATTCTCATTATTTGAAAAGAATGTTAAGTAGGATAGGTTTCACATTACTAATCGAAGACCATGCAAATTACTGTTTTTCTAGTACATTATACTTCGCACCAGGTAAATTACATCGTGTTTCACTTTATACCGGGATGATCTAAGGTGAGTTGCACTTTACTCTAGCATCATATTTCAATTGGATACATACCTGTCAGTAGTATTCTCACCAGATAACATATATACCAGTACCAAATTGAACAAGAAATAGGAATGTGTTCACTTAGAAAGAGAATAAAAATGCCATCATCAATGGGGTTGCCTGTAGGCTAGGACTGTTAATATGGTCTGAACAATGGTACAGAGTAGGACGACCACTGCAGCCAACACACCTAATGCTAACCATGGATTGCTGAAGTGATTACGCCAGAGCCAAGCCATCCATCTGTTCAGCCTGCTTTGGTAATGGTCCTCCAAAACATAGGATAAAGTTTGAAGGTAGTGGTAGGTATCAGAACCAAATATCAAATGTGTGCTGAGCCTGGTGAACATAGCTGACACTTCATCGTCATTATCCAGCATATGAACAATTATCCCTCTCTCAGTAAGTAGAGTGGCATCCTCAGAAGTGCTTACAAGCTGAGACATAAAAGCGATATAAGCTGTGATATAGTTTTCATATTGAGAATCCATTTGCTCAAATGCAATTAAATTCTTGAACAGAGACTCGGTATTCTCATCGATAGTAAGACATGGGACTTCTAGAACTCCATTACTGAACTTTATGTCCAAGAGAGAATGTTTCTCATAGATGCTGTATACCCTTTTCTTCAGTTGAACTCCTGCTTCATGGTATTGTACTGCTTGACGCCATCGAATTGGTAATTGCTCATCTTGGAAGCAATCCTTCTGGCGAGTTAGCAGTCGGGATTCCTCATTTTCCTTTTGGTTAGAACCAACATACCTCTGTCCTAAATAAACTAGATGATGAAAAAACCGTACCTTTGAGTGATTTTGATTAGTCCCAACACACTTATGGGTTGGCCGCAGGTAGATATGACATAAGTGCAGCAAATGATAAAAATTCTTAGGCTTTTTAGATTCTTCAATGCCTTTTGGAAATTGACGCAGGATATCTTCTACACATTCGACAATTTTGTCTCTAAGAAAGGCCTTTGCTCTGTTTGCTTAAAGCTAAATTGTATACTGCCTCAACAATGAAGAAAGGCATTTGATTTTCCAGCAAGAACAAATCATGCCAAGCATAGTTAGCATACCAATCTCCAGAATTATTGCAACCAGATGCATAGTCAGCATTTTGCTCATGCTCCGTTCTATTACTTTTGGACTCAATATGATCAAAATGAGATTTAGTTAGTTCAATTTCATGCACCGCAATCTCAGTTTCACGTCTTTGCATAGGACAGTTGCTTTCAACTTCTTGACCAGAGTTTAGACCATCTTTAACAGCAATACTTCCCGGAGTAACATCTGTTGGCACCTCTTTTAATTGCATTGCTGCTACAACAGTTCTATCAACTTTTACTAAGATGAAGCATGAATCAAGCAAAAGCAACCTCACAAACATCATTTTTTCCATTGGTATCTCCTCAGAGTAATAACATCTTGCTTGCTTCTCCAGTTTATGAATTGCTCTTATGTAATCCTGCAAACTTAATTCACAATTCAACTTGAGAATAAAGTCTAAACACTTCCATTTTTCTCTCTCCATGGCTGTCAGCTTAGGAGCTCCATGGTGATATGGGCCGATTGATAGAATTATTGGCTCATAAGCATTCCTATCAACCTCAAGAATATGTTGCGGCACTTTGTGGATTGAGCATAGCTTATTTCCTTCATCAGACTCAACCGCAGACCAGTACAGATCTATTTCTCTAGTGATAGAATTCACCATCTTCTCCATATCTACTAAATCAGATTGGCTGCTTTTGCCAGGAGTCATTTTTATTGACATGACAATATAAAAAATCCAACTGCACTTTCCTACAGGATGATTTTATGAATAGACTAAGTATTCGAGGAAAGAAATTCAAAATTAGCATGCCTCGTACCTGTATAGTTCCCTTATAACTTATAAGAAAGTAGTGAACAAGTAAAAGGGCCTGTAGCCTAGTGGTTACAAGAGTCTCAGTAGCATCTGAGGTCCTGAGTTCGACTCCCCATAGGAGCGAATTTTCTAGGATTTAACGGCGTTGTGGTTTCAGTGGTAGACGACGTACCCGTCGACAGCGAAGCGCCTGTGGTGACTTCGTCATTCTCTCCAGAATTTGCCGGCCCAGTCTTCGAAGATGCTCATAGGGGTAGGGTTTGCGTTCGTCAATCTCTCCAGAATTTGCCAGCCCAGTCTACGAAGATGCTCATAGGGGTAGGGTTTGCGTGCGTGTGTTTATAGGGGTGAGTGCGCGTGCGTTATGAGTGTCTGCGTTGTACTGTGTAATTCTAAAAAAAAAAGAATTTGCCGGCCCAGTCTTCGAAGATGCTCATAGGGGTAGGGTTTGCGTTCGTCAATCTTTCCAGAATTTGCCGGCCCAGTCTACGAAGATGCTCATAGGGGTAGGGTTTGCGTGCGTGTGTTTATAGGGGTGAGTGCGCGTGCGTTATGAGTGTCTGCGTTGTACTGTGTAATTCTAAAAAAAAAGTAGTGAAGAAAACATCAGCTAATTTTCCTTTGAAGAACAGGGCACAATATAAGATGGATAGACATCAATAGAAAACCATGTGGTGAAAAGGTTCCTCTTAGTTTGATAAAATATCCCAATGAATCTTACGAATAACCTCATTTTCTCGCAAACGTGAAGAGGGAGGCGATATGCGATAACTGATAATAACAAGAGTAAGCATGCAAAGTTGCAACACAATTTGCTCTCCCTGATACTTCCCATCATTAACACAGCATTCAGTTTTCTTATTGGAGTTGTTGTATAGTGCCTCTAAGAAGGATGATTATCCACAAATGGGTAGTTTTACCATCCTTAAAAGGGTACCAAGAGGTACCTATAGGTACTAGGTATCTCGAAGTACCAAAACTTTTAGTGCAAACTCTTGGTATCTCTATATACTTTCTCAAGAACTGTAAAATTTCTCATCCACAAATAGTTACTAATGTGAGTTGGCTTGGAGTTGAGCCCACAGCCTCCTAGGGGCTATTACTGACCAGCTCCCTAACCCAATGCAGGAAGGCAGGAAGTCAGCGTGGGGGATGTCCAAATCCCTTTGCAACCGCAAGGCCGGCTAATCGTATCCTAGGGATCATTCTTCTTGGAGGAGGGTTGGTTTGCCTAAAGAAAATGGACTTAACATTGAAAAAAAAGAACCTATGTTGTATACATGCCAGTAATAGTTTCGTTGAGACAGCATGCACAAGACCATAAGACCTTATATATTTCTGATCACTCAAAATTCACATGATTCTCGTGTATTAGTCACTCCTACTGATCCTTTGATGTCTCACCCGATCACCCCTCGCAAAGACAGCAAAAGGCGCTGAACCTTATTTTTATATCTGTATTCTCATAAACACGGTGCAGTTCCACACAATCCTTTATATCGAATTGACACATATTTTCTACTCCCTCAAATTGACACATATTTTCTACTCCCTCCGTTTCACAATGTAAGTCATTCTATCATTTCTCACATTCATATTGATATTAATGAATTTAGACATATATATCTATTTAGATTCATTAACATTAATATGAATGTGAGAAATACTAAAATGACTTACATTGTGAAACAGAGGAAGTAGTGATTAAATCCAGCAGTCATGAAAGGATAGAAAAAAATAGTAATATTTAGAATAAACAGTGATAAAAATGAAGAACCTACCAGGATTATTGCGGTTCTCTTTACCCAGTGAATTGCCTCGGAGGGAAGTAGTCGTCGTATCTCCAGAATCAGAACGAGCGGGCATTAGAAGATATAGTATGCGGAGAGAGTGGTTACAAGGGAGCGACCTCGGGGCGAGGGAGAGGAGACGCCGCGAATGAGCCGGTTGGCATCTGTATGCGACGGACCGGGGGCAAGTAGGGGAGAGAAATTGGACATTAAGCCACTGCCAAGAGTGGGTTTCGCCACAATGCCATTCCGCGGAATGGCGTCGTTAAAATGCCACTTCCAACCGATGCCAAACATTTGTTTTGGCATTTGGGCCAATTCTCTCTATTTCTACCTAATTTCACACCTGGATGACCAAAATACCCTTCCGGGCAGTATTTCTCTCCGACCTCCACCACCTCGTCACCGTCACAAGCGAGGACCACCGCTCAGCCTCGACGACGCCATCGCCACCGCTATGACCAACGTTGGCTGGAAGCAAAAGCTAGGAGGAGGAGGGGACAACAGTAAGAAGTGCTCCATCGCCAAGATATTCACCTCGCTCGCCGCCCCTGCCCGTCATGTACTCCACCGTCGCTGTTGTGCTCCCGTCGAACCGCCCCTGCCCATCGTACAGCACGCCGCACCCCACGTTGCAACAATGGCGCGGCTGGTTAGTTTACTCACCGGCGGCGAGGTGACCGGAGAAATTACGTACGCAGCGGTGAGCGACGCCGAACACGACGAACCAAATCCCGGCCGCGGCGAACACCGGCGCCGCCGTGAACCCGACCGACTACACCACGCATGCTTTGTCACAAACGACGAGCAGAATCAAATCAAGAAACAGCCATGAAACAAGAATGGAGGATGGACATGTGTATCAAGAGGAGGAGAGGAGGAAGAAGAAGAGCTCACGGACCAGTAGTGCTCGTCGCCGGAGTATAGCTTCAGTCCATCAAGAGGATCCTTCCGCCACGTCATCGAGTCAAACGCCGACCACAAATGGCAGGCTGCGGCCGCTGAGTCAGACGCCGCCATGCGGTCGAAGCGCTCGCGCCTCGCCGCGTCGGCCGCTACAGCGCGGCCCGGGTGCTCGCACTTCACGAGGATGGCCGCCTCATCCTTCTCTTGCCGGCGACGGTGTCCAGAACATCTCCTCGCACAGCGCCGTCTCTTCCCCTTCTCCTCGCACAGCCTTGCCTCTTCCCACATGTTCGCCGGAGGAGGAGGTGAAAGAAACTGCAGGAGAGAAGGGTATCTTGGTCAGTTGAAGTGTGAAAAATGGTGAAAATTTTATGAAATGGCTGAAATAGCAAAATAAATGTTTGGCATCGGTTGAAAGTGGCATTTTAACGACGCCATTCCGCAGAATAACCTACTATTGGTAGTGGCAGAATGTCCAATTTCTCAGAAGGGGAGGAGGACGGTGGCAAATCACTCCTCCCTCCTCGACCGCCACCCGCATCGGTAGATTCAATCCGTGGGACGGTGGGAGTGCGTGTAGATCCGTCTCCACCGTGATGGATGGCCACAGTTGCCCTCCTCTCCACGGCGGCGCCTCCAACTCTCTTGCTCGCTGCTGCCTGCTGGACAGAACCGGGCTGACTGGCTGGGAGAGATTTCTCGAGTTATCAAATTTCTCGGCCGGCTGGGCACAAATCGTTCCCAAGTAAAGACCTTGGGCTTGTTCACTTTGATGCCATTTTCAACCTTATCAAATTTTGGGAAAGTTGTCAAAAAAAAGTGGCTACATTTAGTTTGCTATCAAATTTTGGTAACTATATAAGAAATCCTGCCAAAATTCTGGTAACTATGCCAAAATTTTGGTAATGCCAAAATTTGGTAAGGTTTTTTTTTTGACATCAAAGTGAACAGTTCCCTTGTCTCTTGGGCTTTTTCTAAAGCCCGGGTAATGCATTTGCCTGTTGTCAAAAAAAAAAATCGTTCCCCAGTGGTTGCAAGCCTGTTTGAATAGGGGAAATTGAAAATCATATACTACCTGTCTACCTCCACATCGAATAGAACATATCACAGCGCAATAAATCTGGACAGTACCCTAATAAATCTTATAGATCTCAATGTCCAAATTAGATTAAAATTTCAGAAAAACCTATTAATTTTTTAATTACACGTAAGACAAACCACATTCACATACGCACGAATGCACTTTCTAACACATACTCGATAAATCTCTAACCTCATTAAATTAATTTTCTGTTAAAAGCATAATATGCATACTATTTGTGTACACCAACATTTGAACCATAGTGACCACCACACCATAAGTGACCTTCCAAAATTTCATGTCTAAACTATAGTATACCGGGAGTGTTTGACAGGAGAGAAAAAGTAAACATTGAGAAGATACGAAGGGAGCCATTAGCACATAATTAATTAGGTATTAACTATTTTAAATTTTCAAGATGGATTAATATGATTTATTAAAATAACTTTCCTATAGAAATTGTTTTAAAAAACACACCTTTTAATAGTTTAAAAAGTATGAGCGCAGAAAACTAGACAAATCTTCTCTATTTCACCTGCTGCTGAACACGGAAAATGAGAAAAATTGTAGTTTATTAATGACCAGAGCAATACGTACTTGTGAAAAGCACTAAAAGTCCATGTTTAGATCCCATCTCAAAACTTTACACCTTGTTCTATCAAACATTTGAACTGTATGAAGTATTAAATGTGGGCTAAAAAATAACTAATTATACAGATTGCAACTAATTTGCGATACGAATCTTTTAAATCTAATTGCTCCATAATTTGACAATGTTGTGCTACATTAAACATTTACTAATGACAGATTAATTAGGCTTAATAAATTTGTCTCGTTGTTTACTGACGGATTTTATAATTAGCTTTTTTATTAGTACCCGAACACCCTATACGATACCCTATATAAAATCCGATGTGACACGCTAAACTTTACACCACTGCATTAAACACCCCCTATTTAGTACTATCGAGCATATGCAATAATGCAACATCGAACATATGCTTATCAAGACTTGGGTCGATAGCACTAATTGTAAGATGTAGGCTTGATAATCCAACATCGAACACATTGATCTGACTCTTTATAGCAATTATTGCTCAGTGTCTTCTAAATAGTATATCTTAACTACTTTAAAAACCAATTCACATCGATAACAATGCACTCTTCCACATATCGATAGTTTGAGATAAGTTTCTTTTTAAGTCGATATCTCAAAACAACACAACATAAACTCTTTTATTTCCGTATCCGTTGCAATAACTACTATGGAAAAAGGATTAGGGGGTTCTCATAAGAGATTCCTTCAAACTCTGATTAATAGTCTTTCTTTTGTCTCGCTCCGAAGTCTGAAGTGTTCGCCCGTCAGAATTTGTACATGAATTGTTGGAATTTCTTAATGCTACATCTCCATATAGTGACAATGCAAACATTTGTATGCTCCAGGAGACGTGTGCATGACTGTAAACTACATGTTCACAACACGATCAAAACCAAAAGGTGGAAATTGGTGATATTTTAAATTTGTGATTGTAACAATATGATCTGATTCTGCCATAAATACCAAGAAGATAAATCTATACTTTTCATAAAGTTACAACCCACTCACTCCAAAGCTTTTTCATAAAGTTACAACCCACTCAATCCAAAGCTTAACATACAACCATTCTACATCATCACCCACTAGCAATAATTAAATATTTAACCTCATGAAAATATGCAATATCATCTATAATCTATTTAATTTTACAAATCAACATACAAACATATCCAATCATCTCTTACATCATTTTTACAATATTTTAATAAATCTATCTATCATTTTTATAATATTTAACATATACTCATCAACATGTTCCACATTAAAGCGCAGGCATCATTTGTTTGTTTCAGGATAAGTACTGAATAAACACTGACATTTCATTATTTTTTCTTTTTACTCCTATCTCAATTGTTAAAAAAGTATATTGAAAATTACTTAATAATTCCAGCAGCAAAGCGTGGGGAATCAACTAATTCTTTTGAAGGATGTTCCATTGACCAACTTATTCATGGACATAACAAGTGCTAAGCACCTTATACAATCCAGAAGTAATTCACAAATCCCTCGTCATTCTAAAGAGAAAGGTCAGCCAAATCAAATGATCTTGAAACGGCCTTGTACCAGGAGTCTGCTCTCTTCCTCCTGTGGGCCTCATCCAATTTCGGGCGGAAGACTCTGGTGTTCTCCTTGTGCAAACCAGCGAAAATTTGTTCCTTCGACCAGACTCCAACAGCTAATCCAGCTGCATACGCAGCTCCAAGGGCAGTTGTCTCGATGTCAGCAGGTCTGACAACAGGGCTACCCAATAAATCAGCCTGCAGGTGTGCATGCAAAATCAGTGATCTTATGGGAATTTGGAGAGATTTTACAATTGCAAAGAGAAACGTTTCACTAAGCTACAGCTACAATTACACCCAGTGCATTTAAAAAGATTGTTTTTCAAGACAATTTCAGTAAGCAATACTATAAGAGGATTTAACTAATTAGCTCAAGCTTCTAATTTCAGTAAGCTGTACTGTAGGAGGATATAAGTAAATTAGCCAAAGATCAGTTATCAATAAGATAGTGAATTTTGAAATAACAGTTCATAGCACTACTGTTTTGTTTACAGATGAAGACAGTACTTATATATTTTTTTCCTGTTTGAGATTGATAGCATAGTGCTGTACAGATGTGGCTGCAATCATGTCAAGTATGACTCACAGAAGTAAGAGGTCATTATGTGCAAAAGGTAACAATTGGTGCTTTGGTTAACCTTAAATAGAAAGAGGGACACAAAGAGCCAACATCTTGCATTTCATTCATTTTCACCAAGTCAAAAGCACAACTATAAGCATGAACATTTCAGGTGGTGGTAACATCAACGTTGATAACCTATTTGAATTATTTTACTCTTAAACGTAGTTGCTCATCAACCCAGAAATTTCGCATCTGCGTGATAGTAAATGTTCCACTGTTCCAATGGAAAAGCTAGCAGAGTATTTATTATTCTTTTTAAATCTCGTGAGAAGGATTATTACCTGGATCTGCATGAGAAGATTGTTGACAGTAGCACCACCATCAACGCGCAGCAGGAACTCCCCTTCTGCACTCTTCACTTCTCCTGCCTCCCCAGCATCCTTGTGCATGGAGCTGAGGACATCATTCACCTGAAAGCACATACTCTCGAGCACTGCTCGAGCAATGTGCCCCTTGTTAGTGAACCGTGTGATTCCTATACATATGCCTCTTGCATCATCCCTCCACCATGGTGCAAACAACCCATTGAATGCTGGAACAAAGTATATTCCACCTGAATCCTGCACAGTATCAGCCAACTTTTCAATATCAGCTGCTGTGCTAATGATTCCAAGGCTGTCTCTCAACCACTGAACTGCGGCACCAGCAATTGCGATGGAGCCTTCTAGAGCATAATTAGTGGGTGCGCTTGGGCCAAGCTTATAAGCAATCGTGCTAAGAAGACCATGGGAGGATTGGGTAGGCTCCTCCCCTGTGTTGAGAAGAATGAAGGCACCAGTTCCGTAGGTGCTTTTGGCTTCACCTTTCTGGCACAGCTGCCCAAGCATTGCAGCATGCTGGTCTCCTAGGCACCCAGCAATAGGGACGCCCGCCAAGGGAAACCCATTGGCAACCACACCAATTCTCTCCGAGTTACTGATAATTTTGGGCAATATCTCAGCAGGAATTCCTAACGTCTCAAGTGTTGGTTTGTCCCAGTCAAGTGCCTTCAGGTTCATAAGCATTGTGCGAGATGCATTGGAGCAGTCTGTGACATGGTGCCCAAATACTTTATTTCCATCACGATCTGTCCCGCCAATGCCTCCTGTGAGGTTCCAGATTAACCAGGTGTCAATTGTGCCAAATAAGGCATCACCAGCTCGGACTGCATTCTTGACGGCATCCACATTTTCGATCAACCATAACACCTTCAAAGCACTGAAATAGGTACTGATTGGCAATCCACATGTCTCGACAAAGTGGGTTCTACCACCAGAAAGATCACTTTCCAATCTCCTGAAAGGTCAAACATTATGAGAAAACTGCACTATATAACACTGATATGTCAAACATGATGGACAAAGGGAAGACCTGCAAATGGGGCTTGTGCGAGCATCCATCCATACAATGGCATTGTATAGAGGAAGGCCTGTGGATTTGCTCCACATAACAGTGGTTTCCCTCTGATTTGTAATACCAATGGCCTTCAGTCCAACATCCATATTATGACCATCAGCTGCAGCTTTGTCAAGTGCCTTCGCCATGCATATCTTCACACTCTCCATAATCTCCATAGGATCATGCTCAACCCATCTGTTAATTCATACCAGCAGACAGAGTCACAACTCACAAATAAGTAAAGCAAAATCATAAGTTGTCTCTAAAAGGCAAAGTAAAGTGGTATCAAACATCAACAAAAATTCAAGACGAATTTTTCAGTGCATCGCACATATATGTGGCACTAAAGAGAACATGCTACAGTGAGTCTGACCACTGACCAGAAACAGAGACAATAGAATGTCACAGCATAAGGCACGCCTCAGTTTGGTCGGTTTCTCCTTGCACAAATCAACAAAACAACAGAACAGGATTCTAAATTTTCTACTATTCATGCAAGAAATGTATACTCATGTGGACAATAAAGAAGTTGCCCCCCTTAAAATGCATCAAGGTAATTATTAAAATTTTAATAGATTTAAAGTAACTCAGGCTAATCAGACATCTCCATGAATACAGCATTGAGAAGTCAAATTTCAAAGCACAAGTTATGATGGTCACAGATCAATTGTCAAGGAAACAAATTACTCAAGCAGATAAAGAGCTTGATCCTTAAGGCACCATAGATTTAAGTACCCCTGTCCCCAGATGATAGCTCAAAATCAAGAAGACTAGACTTTTGCGACTCCATTAACTCAGTAAGAAAGCAAGCAACACTTAACATGATAATCATGTAGAAAAATATGAACCTATCCTTATCATATTCCGAATTTGTTTGGCACTATATAGCTTAAATCTCAATCGTTCAAAGGAGGAGGAAAGGAGCTTTGTTGTGAAACATAAAAGGCCATAAGGGTGTGCATTTCTGGTTATTATCTAGCACTAGAAAATTATAGAGATATGTGCAAAAAATAAATAAAGGAGAGCAAAATATCCTATTTCTGGCATCACATATTATAATCCTAATTTGACAATTAAGCCATCAAAATAAACGGCAATGGAAAACCTGATACAGCAACAAGCAATTAACAGTACTACTACTATGAACCTCCACAAACAAAACAAAATGAATCACAACCACCACAAAAAGGTAGCATATTTAAAACTAACAGCACCTCAATTCCATCCAGGTCAACCAATCGAGCAGTACATTCAGCCCCAGAATCCATCACACAGATCACATAATAATCCCATGCTAATGCCAATCTCCACCCGAAATATCACATCGTTGTAAAGAGCATCACTAATTAGCAGTTCAGCACACTTACCCAGCCTCCGGGTAGTGCTGCTTGAACTCGAGCTGATGCGACGCGACGGGCTTGGCGTGGCGGTCGTAGACGATGAACCGCGTGCTCGTCGTGCCCTGGTCGATCGACGCGACATACACCTCCTCCGCCATCCTCCTCCTCCCCCACACCCTCACAAAACCTCACCACAATTCCGGGGGCGCAGCGAGAAGCAGAACAGATTGGACGCCGGGAGGGATGGAGAGAGGGAGAGAGAGAGAGGAGAGGAAATCGGGGAGGAGGCAGACGAGCAGATGGCGTCAAATCGGAGTGGGCAGTTAGGAGTTGGGAGGAAATTTTATAGGCGACGCGCCGATCCGATTGGTGGGGGAGGCGAGGCAACGACGCCGCAGCGGAGGCAACAAGGTGGGCGTGGAAGTCAATGCCCATTTCCTTGTCCACTCCACGTCTCCACCACACTGCTCTCTATCCTCTTCGATTGGAAGGAGTTTTTCGCGTGCGCGTCCCACAAAATCTGGGAATTTTGCGGGGGTTGTTGCTGCTGCTGCTGGCGAACCGCGCGGACAATCATGGAGAGTATTAAAGCCCTGACGGCTAGAGATAATGATAGATTAGTTCGTGTAATCGCCGATTTGCTGGGTGTGAATAGGGACTCCCGGACAATCTTATCCTAATAATGACGAACTGAGGACGCCATCTCAAGTGGAGACTTGGGAGAGTTGGGACGCATGTGCATTGACAGGCAATTTGGGTGTCCTGATTGGCACAGGCACTTGCCCATCAACAATGACATCACATGGACGCCTTACTAGTCTCCATGGATCGCGACAACAGGTACAAGTAGTAACTTGCTCACGAGTAATTGTGGTGTTGTGCTCCAAGCCAGAGAGCCGGCACACGCAACGTGTCGTTCGTATTATCCGTTGTACAATTCCTCTTAGACTACTTATCCCTATACGCATGACGCATCTCTTTTTTTCCCCTGTTCACATGTTACAGTCAAATTGGTCAGTGTTTCATAAACACGAGATAGTAGGAGATAATCATAAGTAGCATACTTGACAGCGGGAAATTGCCTAATTAGTGGATCGGTCACTGTCAGTCAAAGTCAAGGGTCAGCATGCGGCACGGGTTCTCCGTTCACGATCCGAAACTTGGGAGATCGTTTGGATTTTGGTTGAAATTAGAGATAATGTGACTGAAAAATTATGTGTGTATGACAGGTTAATTTGATGAAAAAAGACTGAAGTTTGGGTCCAAACTTTGGATCTAAACACAGCCTCAGTTGCAGATTTTCTCCTCTTTTTTTGCAAGTTCAGAGGAGCGCATGGCTACCGGGGTTGTGTTTGGATCCAAACTTCAGTCCTTTTTCATCACATCAACTTGTCATACACACACAACTTTTCAGTCACATCATCTTTAATTTCAACCAAAATTCAAACTTTGCCTCAATCTAAACATAGCCTGGATAACAAATCAACAGATAGGAATCCTGCCTGATTATTGACAGGTAAGTTCTCGCCTGATATTTCGAGGTGCAGAGTTGGCTCTAGTTGAGGTGATGTGCCACTCCAAAGTCCAAACTGGTTGAGACCGAATTTAGGGTGTGTTTAGGTCCAAACTTTGGATCCAAACTTTCAATTTTTTCCATCACATCAACATGTCATACACATACAATTTTTCAGTCACATTGTACCAATTTCAACCCAAACTTTTAATTTTAGAAGGAACTAAACACAGCCTTAGTTTTAAACTTCCAACTTTTCCATCACATCAAAACTTTCCTACACACACATAAACTTCCAACTTTTCCGTCACATCGTTCTAATTTCAACCAAACTTCCAGTTTTGACGTGAACTAAACACACCAAGCACCCTCCCTGCAGTAGCTTGTTTAATAAGTCTAAGATACAGCATCAAGAAAAACAATTGCTCACACTAGAAAATGGGCAAGCATACGTACGACGGTATGAGGACGGACAAAAATCGTCATAATCTTCAACCACTTCATCAAACCAATCTTAAAAGGACCACTAGAGCATACCTGATATCATTGATGCAAATAAATCAGTCTGGTGTCAGCGCAACGCAAACCATACCAATCGGCTTCACCAATGCTCATCAAACCTCTCAACCTATTTTCACACGCTATTCGCTGTCGTTTTCGCCATCGGACTTGAGATGCTTGCATCTTTGCGTCCTTTGCTGGAATCGCATGGCAGGACCTGTTCGTCCGGTCCGGTTGATGTTACAACTTTGCTCTTGGAAAAGGAAGCTTTCATGGGCCGAGGAGGCGTTGTGGCAGGTCCAGCCTGATTGCTGCCACTGGTAACCGGCCCCAAGTCAATCACAGAAGAAGCTCCCAAAAGGCCGGGGGAAACAGAAGATTGGGCCAAAAATTTCTTTTGGAGATTTTGCAGGACCGTGCCAGGTAAGTTGTTGGTGGGAATGGGATGTACAGATGACTGTACAAGTTGCTTGCAGGCTCCGTCGCGGACGCCATCGAGCTCGACGTTCCCGGCTTCAACTATGAGGTCCCGGTTATCGTCAAGTTGTTGGCAGAATGCACCAAGACGAAGCTGCTTCCAGGCGCCGTTACGGACGCGACGTGCGAGTTGCGACTTGACTGTATGCGATCGGGCTTTGCATCTGCTCAAGTTGCTTCCTCCGTATCGAAGTAAGTTTATTTTTTCGCTCGTCTTACACATATCAACACGAATTTAGAAAACAAAACTAAAATACCGCATACTTCACCAAATCTTAATGCAGTTATTTATTACTTTATCTATTTTTCACGAAATCTAATATAATAATTACTTAAAATAAATTTATTTTGGGATAAACAAAAAAGACATAAATGATCTTTTCCTAGGACGGAGAATGTATAATGCAATGCTACATTCAATCTCTAAAGCTCAATTTAAGAAGCTTAAAATTCTAAAAAACAATTGGTTGGTAAACAGTTTCTGAGAATTTAGAGAAGCTAGATTTCTTATAACTACAACTTCTCAAAAACTGAAGAAAAAGTTGAACGGTTTAAGGCTGTGTTTGATACTTGGGGTTGGGAACCCAACTCCACCGCACGGAAAACGGAGCGGTCCATTAGCATGTGATTAATTAAGTATTAGTTAATTTTTTTTCAAAAATGGATTAATTTGTTTTTTTAAAGCAACTTTCGTATAGAAACTTTTTGCAAAAAAACACACCATTTAGCAGTTTGAAAAGTGTGCACGCGGAAAACGAGGGAAAGGGGTTGGGAAACTTGTGGAAAGAACGCAGCCTAAGAGAGTTTCTGATTCTAGAAAAAGGTATAGATGCTAGAAGCTTTTCAAACAAACCCTAAACTCAGATGCTGAGGGCACGCAACGCGAAGGTGACCCAGAACCAAAAAAATAAAAGAGTGAATTGCACTTTGAGCCATGTTTTATTGCCAAAGTTTCACTTTGGATCACTCTATACACAATCTTTTCACTTTGGACTAGACAACTTTATCTTTGTTGCACAATAAACCACCATAACTCTTTACGCTAGTGATGTCTAGCGTTCTTTCGATAAAGGTATAGCAAGCATTTAGACATGAAAATTTACTAGCACGTCAGTAACAATTCGCTCAAAGTCATCGAAGAACTGAAGATGTGGTTTGGGGTGCTTCATTGTGCAACAAAGGTAAAGTTACCTAGTCCAAAGTGAAACTTTGACAATAAAATCCCAAAGTGAAATTAACGACGTCGACCAGCCCGTACACCACGGGAGAAGAAAGGGGGATCAGCTCCGGTGACTCCCAACTTGGCCTTAAAATTTCAGTTATCGACGAAAGCAGATAATCTCATCATGAGATCTCCGCGTTCCTGCTGTCCCACACTCCCACTTGTCCTTCCAGAATCCCAGACTGCAAAACTTTAAAACCACAAAGCTAGCTACAGGGTCGTCGCGTGTCAACTCACAAAAGTCACGGACCGGGTACGACCAGGAAAACCTGGTCCAATCAAAAGTTGCTTCACCAGCCGTGTGTACCCATGAAAGTTCATGGAAACAGGACAAATGCAGCAGCATGATAAAACCACGCAATCTAGTAGTAATCCACCACTGATCGATCATCCTCAGGTGTCTCCAGCCTGCTAGAGATGAGCGCAGGAGAAGACGGAGTTTATTTCAGGATGAGATTCTTCTTCTTCTTCTTCTTGGTTGTGCTATGCTTGCTAGATTCCAATATCTCCACGTCCCATGGCTGCTTCGTGGAGGAGAGGACGGCGCTGATGGACATTGGCTCCTCTCTGACGCGCTCAAACGGCACGGTGCCGCCATCATGGGGGCGCGGCGACGGTGACGACGACTGCTGCTTGTGGGAGCGCGTCAAATGCAGCAACATCACTGGGCGAGTATCACATCTCTACTTCTCAAACCTGTATGATTCTCTGGAAGTGCTAAATGCACATGGTGACTCGTTTTGGCGTTTCAACACGACGGTCTTCTCCTCATTCCCGGAGCTTCAGTTCCTGGATCTGTCCAGTATCTATCCCAGTTCTCTAAATATCGATGGTATGTGCACAGTGTCCATCCTGAATAACCAAGATTGCTCCTTGCTTTTGCAATGACTAATATTTTCAGACAAACTATCATAGGCTTGGTAGGGCTGAAGCTGCCCAAGCTACAGCATCTCAACCTCAGTTATAACTGGTTGCAAGAGAGTATCCTCGCAGATCTTGGGGAACTGGTTTCGCTTGAAGTCCTAGATGCCAGCTCCAACGCCATGAGTGGAGTTGTTCCCACTGCAGGTACAGAAATGGATATTTAGAATGAACATAGTTCAGTAAAGAATTAGCATCTTGTACATGTGATGATTATATTTGTAACATCTTGTACATGTGCTGTTATATTTGTAACACTATTGCAGTTTTAAAAAATCTTACGAATCTGAAGGAGCTGAATTTGAGTGCCAACGGATTCAGCGGAAGCCTTCCGGGGTCATTACTTGAACTACCTCACCTTGATCCCTCAGGAAGTTCGTTAGCAGGACGTACTCCAATTAATTCATCTTTGGAGCCAGTTTCACTACAAGTATTAAATCTCAACAACAACAGGATGAGTGGAGCTCTTCCAACCGAACGAGGTAAAAATAATGGACATTTCATGCTTGATCATAACATCTGGGCAAGATTTTCTATGATGCTGATTATAACTGATTCATTGTATTCATACTTTGCGCAGCATTCGGATATCTAAGGAACCTACGAGAATTGCATTTGAGTTCCAATAACTTCACTGGAAACATTTCTACTTTCTTGCTTTCACTTCCACATATTGAACGATTGGATCTCTCGGGAAATACTTTTGAAGGACCTATCCCTATAACTCCATCTTCAAATCTTTCTCTGTCTCTCAAAGGTCTTCGGTTTTCCCAGAACAATCTGAGTGGTAAACTCTCATTTTTTTGGCTGAGGAACCTCACTAAACTTGAAGAAATCAACTTGTCAGGGAATATTAATTTAGCAGTTGATGTCAATATTCCTGGATGGGCACCTCCATTCCAACTGAAACAGTTAGCTCTCTCTGGTTGTGGTCTTGACAAAGGCATAATTGCAGAACCACACTTTCTACGCACACAACATCATTTGCAGGAGCTTGACTTGTCAAACAATAACTTGTCAGGAAGAATGCCGAATTGGCTTTTTACAAAAGAAGCAACTCTGGTTAACCTAAACCTTGGAAATAACTCGCTAACTGGATCTCTAAGTCCCATATGGCACCCCCAAACAGCTCTACAATCTATTGTTATATCTACCAACCGTATTACAGGGAAGCTACCTGCCAACTTCAGCGCAATATTTCCAAGCTTGTCCACTCTGGATTTGTCAGACAATAACTTTCATGGAGAAATTCCGATGTCACTGTGCAGCATCAAACACATGAAGGACTTGAGCTTATCAAACAATAATTTTTCTGGTAAAATGCCGACTTGTGTGTTCACTGATTTTCTTGAGCTGTGGACCTTGAGTGCCTCAAACAACCAGCTTGGAGGTCTGGTGTTTGGTGGGATGAAAAAACTGTCCATCGGGTTTGCAATGCACCTACAGAACAACAAATTTGAAGGAACACTGCCTCGTAATCTGTCAGGAGCACTAGTAATCATGGATTTGCATGATAACAGCCTGTCCGGTGAACTTGACACCTCATTTTGGAATCTGTCTAAATTGCAGGTACTAGATCTTTCTGGGAACCATATAACTGGCAGTATCCCTCAAAAAATTTGCAGCTTGGCAAGCATTGAAATTTTAGATCTTTCAAACAACAACTTATCAGGATCTATACCAAGATGTGCCAGTGCATCTCTAAGTTCGCTTAATCTGTATGGGAATTCATTATCAGGAAACATCTCGGATGATCTTTTCAACACATCAAATCTTATGTATTTGGATATGAGACATAATAAGTTGACTGGTAACCTCAATTGGTTACGGCATCTTGATAAAATCAAGACACTTTCATTGGGATGGAATGACTTTGAAGGCCAAATCACTCCAAACTTGTGTAAACTAAAGTGCCCAAGGATAATCGACTTCTCACACAACAAACTCTCAGGCTCACTGCCACCATGTGTTGGCAACATCTCTTGTGAGAGTGATACGGCAGCTCAAAATTATTCACCATTGCTACTTATTTATGTTATAATAGAGGCTTACATAATTGTTCATGACCCAATAGACTTCACCTTTGCTACAAAAGGGGGACAATATACATATGGTTACAACTTCTTCGATCTGATGTCTGGTATCGACTTATCCGGGAATATGCTGTCAGGAGAAATTCCATGGGAGCTTGGGAATCTGAGCCATATCAAATCCCTCAACCTGTCCAACAATTTCTTCACTGGTCAAATCCCAGCAAGCTTTGCAAACATGAGCGAGATTGAAAGCTTGGACCTTTCCCACAATGAACTGAGTGGATTGATTCCATGGCAGCTGACCAAATTATCGTCATTAGCGGTGTTCTCTGTGGCATATAACAACTTATCAGGATGTATTCCAAACTCTGGTCAGTTCGGCACGTACGGTATGGATAGCTACCAAGGCAACAGTAATCTTCGGAGTATGTCAAAGGGAAACATATGCTCTCCAGATTCAGGAGCAGGTGACTTGCCATCGGAAGGAAGAGACAGTATGGCAGATGATCCAGTGCTCTATGCAGTCAGTGCTGCCTCATTCGTCCTGGCGTTTTGGGGCACCGTTGCTTTCTTGTTTTTCCATCCACTCGGACGGCGTGCAATTCTCGCGACAAGGAATTTGGTGTTTTGGTGTGGTCATTAACGATTTGAAGTTTATTTTTCTGTCATCCATTTCTGATTGTGAAGTCTCCACTTACCAACTGCTTCAAAATTCTTGAGTCTATAATTTTTAATCTAATGTCCATATTTTGTTTTGGGCCTGTCATCTAAATGTCGATGTTGTGTAAATGGCTGTTGAGAAATGTAGCTTGCTATAAGATGAATGAATATATTAGGCTGCAATTTACACAGGGCGCGCTTAAGTGCAGGTTTGCCCTAACCTCTGATTATCATCATAAAATGATTTCTCACCATGACATGGTAAAAATAAACTTGTTGGCCCCATTTCCCACAAAATCCAATTCGCATCCCCGAAGATTCTGATTTTCTAAATATAATTCAAATTCAAATGTACCTATATGGATGTATATGGAAATAAAATCTAGGATTAAATACTAAATATACCTGTTTGGTTGTTAAATTGGGGAATGATTCCAAAACTCTGTGTGCATATATCGGATGATATCCAACCGAAATAATCCAAGACAAAAGCAGCAATAACACAGAGAAGAAGCAGATCACATACCATCCAACTTCCTCCGGTCCTTGAAGTGACTACCCTAGGGTTGGTTCGCTGCTGTCTGCGCGGCTATTGGTAGTTGCCGGGAGCAGGATGGAGGAGCGGCGATGCCGGAGGCGGGGCCAGGCAAGAGTGACGACGACCTAGGTTTGGCTGTAGCCATGGACCCATGGTGGTTGTGGTGGCGAGAGCAACGGAGCAAGGAGAGAGCGGAGAGGCGGAGAGGGGAGGAGACGCGGCGGAGGTGAAGCCGGCAACCAGGGCAGCAATGGGGGAAGAAGATGCCAACCGAGCCGATTATAGGTGTCCAAACGGGCGGCACGGCCCGGCCCGGCACGGGCACGGTTCCGGCACGGCCCGTTTCGGCACGGCCCGTTAGGCACGGCTGATGAAACGGGCGTGCCGTGCCGGCCCACGTGCCGAGCCGCTGGCCCAAGCACGGCCCGTGGATGGCCGGCCCGTGCCCGTGCCGGCACGGCACGCCCGCGGCCCACGGGCCGTTCGGGGCACGGCGGCCCGTGAAGGCAGGCCGCCAGCCCGCCAGCCTGCAGTGCACAGTGTTTTTTTTAAAAAAAAAAGCAAAGGAAATGTATAAGGAAAAAAAAATTAAAAATGGAAATAAAATGTTTAAAAAAAGTAATGATTTACTAATGTTAAAAAATGAAAAAATGGTATTTAAAAAATGGAAATAAAAGTTTTTTAAAAAAGTAATGATTTGCTAATGTTAAAAAAAAGAAAAAATGGTATTTTTTTTGTTGTGTTGAAAAATTTAAAAATATAGATTGTGATTCATTATTTTGAAATAATTTAAAGATAAATCCACACTTGCGAAAATATTGCAAAAGAATTTGTTAAAAATAGTAATGACCTTTATTGATGTTTATATCATTACAGGATACAATGATACATGCTGCCTCGTTAAAAACTTTGTCATGTAAAAACTCATAGGGGAAAATGAGAAAACCATGACAAAGAAAAGAGTACAGCTCAAAGGTCAGAACTACTTCTAACAAAATTCTACTGGGGTTGGTCTGGATCCAGGTAGAGTTGCTCGAACTGGGCGGCCAATTCTTGGTTGTCCGCAGTGTATTGGGCATGTTGTCGAGCAAGCTCCCAGTCTTTAACGCTTAGTAGCATTTCGACGTGGTCGCTGCGCAGAGTCGTCCTCCGGTCTTCGATGATTCGGCCGCATAGACTGAAGGCCGATTCGGAGGACACCGTCGACACGGGCACCGTCAACACATCCCGTGCTAGTTTTAAAAGCACAGGATATGTTATCTTGTGGTCATTCCACCACCCGAGGACGTTGAAATCTTGTGCTTCGTGGTGGATGGCGTCGCTGTCCAAATAACCGGACAACTCTTCGGCCACAACATGCGAAGAGGCGTCTCCACTTGTAGCCGACGAACTGCCACCACCTTGGATTGAACTTGAAGACGATCCACCCCAAATCCTACCCCACTGTATCTTCTTCTTACCTGTAGTGGGGATAGGAGGGGGTCTCTGCTGGCGAACTTCCTGAAACTTTACTTCATATCTTCCAAAAACCTCATATAATTTACGTCTAACCTCAGTATAAAAAGAACTATAATCTACACCTATAGTATCTCCAACAAGTGATAAAATAGCAGACAATCCCCTTAATTTACACCTAGGATCTAAAACAAAAGCAAGAGCATACAACATAGGTATATTTTTCCAATATTTCAAATATTTTTGTTTCATGTGAAAGACAGGTTCAGTTAGAACATCATCATTTTCGTATTCTTTAAATAAAGTAGCAATTTCAAGAAGGTTGTGCAAAATTATATTAGCAGTTGGATAATAAACTTGTGACAAAGTTAGAGTACAATCATAAAAAGTTTCTAGAAATTGGTAAAATTTTTGGACAATTGCCCAAACATGCTCGTTCAGTACTGAAGACCCGTCACTGTTTCTTGGGCCACCACGTGACTGAACAAAATCAGAAAGTAAACTACTATAAGGTAAAACAACTTTTAACATTAAATACGTTGCATTCCACCGATGCTCTGCATCGGTGGCAAACTTACGAGCTTTCACACCGGCCGCATTGCAAAACCTCTTCCATGCAGCAATCCGCGGGTTAGAAGCAGTTAACCACGCGATTGCTTGACGAACAGCATCGATGTGGTCACCTACCCTCTTCATGCCAGTCTTAACAATCAAATTAATTATATGACATGCACAGCGCTGATGGAGTAGAAAAGATTGAGCATACACACAAAATAAAGGTTGCAATATTTCAATAGCCCTAGAATTAGCAGATGCATTATCTAGGGTGACAGCAAATATTTTATCAGCAAGATTAAATTCATTAATTACTTCCCTAATTCTTTCAGCTATGTTTTCTCCTGTATGTGAGACATCTATTAACCTAAGCCCTAAAACTCTCTTTTGTAATTGCCAATCATCATCAACAAAATGAACAACTACGCTAAGATAATCCTCTCTAGCTCTACTACTCCATATATCTGAAGTAACACTAACAGAGAAAGTACATGTACTAAACAGTTCCTTAAGTGCAGTTGCTTCCTTGTGATAAACATTCTCTAAATCTCTAGTTGATGTTTGCCTACTCACAGCTTTAAACCTAGGGTTATGAGATTGCTGAATGTAATGTTCAAAAGCAGGGGACTCCCCAAAGTTCAGGGGTAAATCTTGCCTGGCGATTAACCGGACAAGAGATTCTCGAGCAACCATGGGATCGTACTCCCAACTGCGTACCGTACCGTCTGGGTTTACCATAAGTTGCTGCTGCCGGAGTTGTATTCCTTGCTTCTTGGCACACGACTCCGCATGGCGCTTGAGGTGACCTGTACCACCAGAAGAACGAGCAGATAAAATTTGCCTACATATTCTACAACGGGCTTTCGATACCTCCCTTCCATCGGGGCATGTTTCCTTTATCTCGTCGAAGCTTTGCCACACACCGGAGGTTCTCGATCTCTTCGAGCCGGTGTGTGTCGAAACACTTCCGCTCGCGGTTCCGGAAAATCCTTCCGAAGCTGTCTCCGCCTGAACCGGTACCTCCTCAACGACAGCCGTATGAACCGGTACCTCCTCCACAGATGGTGGAGTTGGAGCCGATCCGGAGGTACCGTCAAACCCCGACATGTAGTTGGGGTCGAAATCACCCAAGGTGAACGACGGCGACTGGTATGGAAAGTTCGGATCCATTCTGAAAATTTAAACCGACATAAACAAATTTTCGAATATTTATTGAATTCACAAACACAATACAAATAATACACAAATTTGAATATTACTTACATCTTTCCAACCGCGAGCTCTTCAAACCTCTGCGATCAAACTGTTGAACTACGAAACTAATTTTGATTTTTGACAAAATTTGAGCAAATTTTGTCAAAATCAAAAAAAATGCACACTTGAGAACAAAGAGAGCACTTAAAACACTTGAGAGCACAAGATGAGGAGTGTGGGATGAGGAGAAATGGCTGGGGTTCATGCCCTATTTATAGGGCGAAATTTGAGATTTTTTGGAATTTTTTCGAAATTTTTATGAATTTTTTAGCCTCCCAACGGTTATTTTCAAATTTGAACGGTCAAATAGCCGTTAGTGCCACGTGGCGCCTTCCCATTCGACCGCCGCCCGCCCTGTCCGCGCCTGACGGGCCGCCGGCGTGTCGTGTCGTGCCGTGCCGCGGGCCGTGCCGTGCCGGCCCGCTACAGTAGCCGTGCCGTGCCGTGCCGGCCCGCGGGCTCGGCCAGCGGCCCAAGCACGGCACGGCCCGTTACTGTAGCAGGCCGTGCCGGGCCGTGCCTGCTACAGGTTCGGCCGTGCCCCGGGCCGCCCGTTTGGCCCGGCCCATTTGGCCACCTCTAGAGCCGATCGCCTTGCAAATTGGGCCAAGCCAAGGTTAATCTGAATTCGAGGCCCAATACTGATTCCCGGCGAGTCCAAGCGGGCCGAATGAATAGGCCGCGAAGCGGCAAGGTAAGATGGCGCAGGCCTAATGGTAAGGAGCCGACTGAGAATAGTGTCCAGACCATTATAATTTGTGGAAAAAGTACACCAAAGGTCCCTGAACTTGTTCGAGTTAAAAAAACGTCCTTAAACTGCAAAATCAGATATCCGGCGTCTCTTAACTAATCAAAACCGTTCACTTTAGATCCTTCGGTGATTTTGATCCTGGTTTTATCCGATGTGACGGCTGAGTCAGCGTGGGCCCCACACGTCAGGATACCACGTCATCCCCCCCTTCTCTCCTCGGTTCCTCCTCTCCCTCAGTCTTCTCTGCCTGTAGCCGATCGGTGGGGCTAGCGGAAGAGGAGGAGGACGGCATCACGATGGTGGCCGGCGGCTGCCAAAGATGGGCCTGGGAAGGCGGCAGCAAGGCGGAAACGGCACGGGCGTCGATAGGGAGGCGGGGGTCGTCGACGGCGGGCGCGATGCTGTCGAGGTCGCTCACCTCACCGCTACCGGGATCTTCGACCTCGAGCTCACCCGTGCCGCCACTACCAACGCCTCCCGGGCCTCTCCGACAGTCCGACCCCAAGGTCGCACGCGCCGCCACTGCCTCCCTTCTCAAGCGTCGCAGCCGCTGCCGCTTCCCTTCTCTCGTGTCGTCGCCGTCGCCGCTGGGGTGATCGAGATAACACGCAGCCGGCGGCGGGGAAGGAGGCGCAGCTGATAGATCGATAACGATGCCCGATGATTCGATATGATGTTTTTGAAAAAAAATTTAAAAACTAAACAAGGCCTTACTAGTCTCAATGGATCGCGACAACAGGTACAAGTAGTAACTTGCTCACGAGTAATTGTGGTGTTGTGCTCCAAGCCAGAGAGCCGTCCCACGCAACGTGTCGCTCGTATTATCCGTTGTACAATCCCTCTTATATTACTTATCTCTATACGCATCTCTTTTTTCCCCTGTTCACATGTTACAGTCAAATTGGTCAGTGTCTCATAAACACGAGATAGGAGATAATCATGAAGTAGCTTACTTGACAGGGAATTTGCCTAATTAGTGGTCACTGTTAGACAAAGTCAAGGGTCAGCATGCGGCACTGCTTCTCCGTTCACGATCCGAAACTTTTTTTTTTTTTGTGTGTGAGAGAGAGACGATCCGAAACTTGGGAGATCTCCTTTCAGTTGCAGACTTTCTCCTGTTTTTTGCAAGTTCAGAGGAGCTCATAGTTACTGGATAACAAATTAACCGACATTAATTCTGGCTGGTTCTTGACGGGTAACCTCATAAATTGAGCTTGATTCTCTTCTAATATTTCGAGGTGCAGAGTTGGCTCTAGTTGAGATGCTGAGCCGGTCCAAACTGATTGAAGCACTCGGTAGATTGCAGTAGCTTGTTTAATTAGTCAAGAAACAGCATCAAGAAAAACAATTGCTCACACAAGAAATTTAGAAAATGGGCAAGGATACGTATGAGGACGGACAAAATTCGTCATAATCTTCAAGTGACTCCCCAACTTGCCTCAATTTCAGCTATCGCCGAAAGCAAATATTCTCGTCATGAGATCTCCGCGTAACCGCGTTACTATTGTCCCACTTGGCCTTCCAGAACCCAGGTGCAAACGAGTCTTGCTAGCTGAAATTGAGTTGTTTTTGGCTCGCACGTTTTTTGAGTTATTAAACGGTGCGTATTTTTAAAGATTTTTTTTATAGAAAAGTTACTTTAAAAATCTATTTTTTAAAATTTAAAATAATTAAACTTACTTTCTAGTATTGCTCATATTCATATAGATGTTAATGAATCTATGCACACATATATGTCTAGATTTATTAACATATATATGAATGTGGTCAATGCTAGAAAGTCTTATAATATGAAACGGATGAAGTAATTAATTATATCTTAATTACTCATCTCATTTTACATATCTTCTCAATCTTTTTCTTTCAACTTCGCCCGCGGAACATTGAGAAAAGATTTATCTCGTTTTTCACACGCATGTTTTCTGAAATACTAAACGATGTGATGTTGGTAAAAGTTTTATGATGCGATGTCTGTAAAAGTTTTATATATGAAAGTTGTTTTAAAAAATTATAGTAATTCATTTTTCAAGTTTAAAATAATTAATACTCAATTAATCATATGCTAATAGCTCATCTCGTTTTACGTATCTTTTCAATTTATCCATTCCCCTCCTCTCCGACACTCTCATTAACTTAAGCTACGGGTCCATGTCAAACTCACAAGTCACAAAATAGGGGTACGTACCATGCCCATACCGAGAGCCTGTAGCAACCCTCGTATTCCACTTCCAAGGTAAAATACCGGTCTACGGCTCATTTCTTAGTAAGAGCCAACTTACCTATGATTCTGCTAATGGATCCTAGATGCTCTATTTAGTTTCTACACTGAGAATAGATCAATGTCTAACCATTTATGCTCTGCCTATTTAACTTGAAATGGTAGCACAATATTGATCTTATCTTAAGCTCTTGAGGTTAAATAGAACGATGATTATTTCTAACTATGCATGCATTCAAAATTCATCCTATGATGGATTTACTGAGCATTGATTTATAGAACTATATAAAGATATAATCCTTAACTCAAATGCACTTGTAGATCATCAGAGATAATTCTTGTTGTTAACTATGTAGTGAGATGGCTGATCTATACTTGAATTATCCTTTTAAGAATCCATTAAATTTAAGATGATACTATATTGTCCAATTACTATTTGCACTTATATATGGTTTGGTTGTGTGACCATTAGATTATATGCATTCAAAAATAAAACACGCTAGTTTCACTTTTATTTTCTGGGTTTTACTTTTATGACCTTAACCTCCTAGAATCAAATTGTATACTCTAATATAGCACAACATTTCTTGATAAATCATATTTTTCTTCTTTAGACTTGTATGCAGTGTATGAGTTCAGTTGATATTGTATAACCATGCATATGTACTATATATATAAGATGCATACAGTGTAAGAATTTTAGTGTACAAGTATCTGCGTGTATGTTGCAGACTTGTACTGGTAAATTATAAAGAATGGGATTTCTAATTTCTATTGTGCATTCGTGTACCTCACTACCTCTCCAGTGACAACTAATCCGCGCTACAGATAATGGCCAACAACGTGGCATGAACCATACTTGATATTCTTGAAATAATGCACTCTCACAGAATTTATTCTAACTAATAAATATATCGATAATGCATATGCATATGCATATGACTTAATATCAAGCGATGAACAGTTAATAAATAACTCAGGAAATTCAAATTAGAATCAACAATTCAATACGTTAATAGGTCCTAGTTAACATCGTGACACAATCAACACTGCTCTCAGCAAGTGTGACTAAGTCATTAACATGATTAAAACTTATAGCTAAATACCCGTGTTTTTACAGAGCCCAAGAGTGGTAAAAAGCAAAGTTGCTTCCCCAGCAGCATGATAAAACCACACAATCTAGCAATCCACCATTGATCATTCTCAGGTGTCTCAGTGAGCCAAGCGTAGGAGAAGGTGGAGCTTCTTGTTCCAAGATGAGCTGCAGCTTTCCGTGGGGATCCTTCTGCTTCTTCTTGGTTGTGCTATGCTTGCCAGATTCCAATATCTCCACGTCCTCCCATGGCTGCTTCGTGGAGGAGAGGACGGCGCTGATGGACATCGGCTCCTCTCTGACGCGCTCAAATGGCACGGCGCCGCGTTCATGGGGCCGCGGCGACGACTGCTGCTTGTGGGAGCGCGTCAACTGCAGCAACATCACTGGGCGAGTATCACATCTCTATTTCTCAAACCTGTATGATTCTAATGAAGTGCTAGATGCACTCGGTCACTCGTTTTGGCGTTTCGACACAACGGTCTTCTCTTCATTCCCGGAGCTTCAGTTCCTGGATTTGTCCATGAACAATGCTACTTTCCAGAGCTGGGATGGTAAGTACGAGTCGCATGGCTCCATAGCCTTCCATGTCTCGCACGCATGTATGATCCACGGTTGACAGAACTTACTTTTGTAAATGGAAACGTTCTGGCCAGGTTTACTAGGATTGACCAAGCTTCGGTATCTCAAGCTCAATAACAACTGCTTGAATGGTACTATCCCGGCATCTATTGGGAAATTGGTTTCCCTGGAAGTCTTGCATCTTCAGTTTACTGGCGTTGGTGGAGTACTTCCGTCTTCAGGTCCAAAATGAACACTTCCTAGTATTCCTGGAGCAGAAGAAAATATATTGATGTTTATTATTGTTTTGCAATTTATAATAATCATCCATATGCATGTTTTTGCAGTTTTTGAAAGTCTTCGGAACCTGCGGGAATTGGATTTAAGTTCCAATCGACTAAATGGAAGCATTCCTTCATCATTGTTCTCACTTCCTCGTCTTGAGCACTTGAGTCTCTCACAAAATCTCTTTGAGGGGAGTATTCCTGTGACACTGTCTTCAAATATTACGTCAGCGTTAAAGACATTCAATTTTTCAATGAATAATTTGAGTGGTGAATTTTCCTTCTTCTGGCTGAGAAACCTCACCAAGCTCCAAAAGATAGATGTCTCAGGAAATGCTAATTTGGTTGTTGCGGTCAACTTTCCTAGCTGGTCACCTTCATTCCAACTGAAAGTGCTAGTCCTCTCTGGCTGCAACCTTGATAAGAACATTGTTAGAGAACCAATTTTTTTACGCACACAGCATCAACTAGAAGTGCTTGATTTGTCGAATAACAGCCTGTCTGGGAGCATGCCCAATTGGTTATTTACAGAGCAAGCCACATTAGTTTACCTTAATCTTGGAAATAACTCACTAACAGGGTCATTAGGTCCAATATGGTATCCCCAAATGAATCTACAAGCTATCAGTCTTCCTATGAACCGTATCTCCGGACATCTACCGGCTAACATCAGCTCAGTATTTCCAAATATGAGTTTTCTTGATGTTTCTAGCAATACGATTTCTGGAGAAATACCATCATCATTGTGCAACATTACTAGAATGGAATACCTGGACCTATCAAATAACAGTCTTTCAGGAGAATTGCCTAATTGCTTGCTCACTGAATATCCTATACTGACAACCTTGAAGGTCTCAAACAACAAACTTGGTGGCCCCATATTTGGTGGTACGAATCATTTGTCGATCAAACATGCATTATACCTTGATGGCAACAAATTTGAAGGAACACTGCCGCGATATCTAACAGCAGATTTCGATGCTCATGGAACATTGGATTTGCATGACAATAATTTATCAGGTAAACTCGATTTTTCACAATGGAACCTTTCCACTTTATGCACCTTGAGTCTTGCGGGCAATAGTCTAATCGGTGAAATCCATCCAAGCATTTGCAATTTGACAAGAATTATGCTTTTGGATCTATCTCATAACAACCTTTCAGGGGCTATACCAAACTGTATGACCGCATTAGAGCTTGATTTTTTTATCGTCTCTCATAATTCTTTGTCCGGACATATAGTACCTTTTTCTTTCTTCAATAGCTCTACTGTCATGGCTTTGGATCTCAGTCACAACCAATTCAACGGAAACATTGAATGGGTACAATATCTAGGTGAAAGTAAGTACCTTTCACTGGGCAGCAACAAGTTTGAAGGGCAGATATCTCCCAGCCTTTGTCAGCTCCAGTCTTTAAGGATACTTGATTTCTCACACAACAGTCTATCAGGGCCATTGCCATCATGTATTGGAAACCTCTCATTTGGACAAAATCCAGTTGGTATCCCTTTATGGTCGCTAATCTGTGAGAATCACTTTAGGTACCCAATTTTCGATTACATCGGATGCTATGAAGAAAGAGGCTTCAGCTTCCGTACTAAAGGCAACATTTACATATACAAACACAATTTCATCAATTGGATGTCTGGCATCGACTTATCTGCAAACATGTTGTCTGGACAAATTCCCAGGGAGTTGGGAAATCTGGGACATATCAAGGCCCTCAATCTGTCCTACAATTTCTTTGCCGGACCAATCCCAGCAACCTTTGCAAGCATGAGTTCAGTTGAAAGCTTAGACCTATCCCACAACAAGCTGAGTGGAGCAATACCATGGCAGTTAACTCGTTTGTCATCACTGTCCGTGTTCTCAGTGATGTACAACAACTTATCAGGATGTATACCAAACTCTGGTCAGTTCGGCTCATTTGATATGGATAGCTACCAAGGAAACAACCTCCTACACCCAGCGTCAGAAGGGAGCGAGTGTGCTCCCAGTTCAGGTCATTCGCTACCGGATGATGGAGATGGAAAGGGAAATGATCCAATCCTTTACGCGGTCACTGCTGCCTCGTTCGTAGTGACATTTTGGATTACTTTCGCATTCACAAGCTTCCGAATGTAGAGCTTCAGATTTTTTAATACTTACTTTGTCCTATTTTAAGCGCAGCCATGAGTTTCCGTGTCTAACTTTAATTGTCGGTCTTATTTAAAAAAAAATCATGATTAATATTTTATTGTTATTAGATGATAAAACATGAATAATACTTACTTATGCTTTTTAATTTTTTCAGAAAAAATCAATCAAAATTAGACACAGAAACTTATAGTTGCGCTTTAAATAGGACGGAGGGAACAGCTACTAGTACCATCCAACATTCTACTCGTACTGTTCACTCAAACGTATATTATTTCCTAAAGAAAATGTAATCTTGCATATGTGCTACTGAAGTAACTTTTTTTTCCTTGTCGACAGTAGAGACACGTATGCAATATGGCCTTACCGTTTATAAACTCTTAATTAGCTATCAACAGAAGCTGTGGTTTAACCCTTCCAAAAAGTACTCTCAACAAAAGCGGTCAACAAATGCTTCCGGTGAGAGTCCTTTTTGGAAGGAGCGGGAGCTTCTATTGATAGGTTTAGAGATTTTGTGTGCCGTGCGCACGTTGGAGAAGAAAAAGGCACTTTCTGACTTTGGGGGGTGTTTAGATTCAAGGGTGTAAAGTTTTGACGTATCACATCAGATATTATATACTCCCTCCATCCTATAATATAGCAACCTAGTACCGAACGAGACACTTCATAGTACAACGAATCCGGACATACTTCCTGCCCAGATTCGTTGTACCATGAAGTGTCTCATCCGGTTCTAGGTTGCTATATTATGCGACGGAGGGAGTAGGGTGTTGCATAGGGTGTTCGGGCACTAATAAATAAATAATTACAGAATCCGTCAGTAAACCGCATATTATGGGACAGAGGGAGTAGAGTGATGCATGGGGTGTTCGGGCACTAATAAAAAAATAATTACAGAATCCATCAGTAAACCGCGAGATGAATTTATTAAGCCTAATTAATACGTTATTAGCAAATAAAGTCATTAGCAAATGTTTACTGTAGCCATAGTAAAAGTCATTAGCAAATGTTTACTGTAGCCATAGTAAAAAAAACATACCAGCCCGACGGTTGAACCGGAACTAGTACTCTCACCGGGTCGGTTGGCTTACAAAGGACAAACCTGGGTTTACCCTAACATCTGATTATCATCATAAAATGATTTATCACCATGACATGATAAAAATAAGGGCCCCTTTGAATCAAAGGAAAAACCATAGGAATTCTAGAGGATTTTATTCTATGGTAAATAATCCTATAGAGTCCTTTGAAACAAAGGATTGTTTCCTATCAATTCCTTTGAAATTCCTATGAAATGAACCTTACCTGAGCAATTTTGGAGGAAAATAAGCATGAGGTCTCACCTCATGTTTTCCTCTTCATGTGTCTAAGGTTCCTGCGTTTTTTCCGTGTGCTAATCAAACAACAGTTTGAAAACTTTCCTGTGTTTCAAAATCCCATAGGAATCCAATAAATGTGGCATTCAATTCCTAAGTTTTTCCTATTCCTCTGTTTTCTCAATCCTGCGATTCAAAGGGGCCCTAAACTTGTTGGCCCCATTTGGATCCCACAAAATCCAATTCACATCCCCCGAAGATTCTGAATTGTCTAAATATAATTCAAATTCAAATGTATCTATATGGATGTACATGGAAATAAAATCTAGGATTAAATACTAAAGTGTACTCCGTACTCAATACTAAATACATGTTAGGTTGTTAAAATGGGGAATGATTCCAAAACTGTATTAGCCGTGTGTGCATATATCGGATGATATCCAACCGAAATAATCCAAGACAAGAGCAGAAATAACACAGAGAAGAAGCACATCACATACCATCCAACTTCCTCCGGTCCTGGAAGTGGCTACACTAGGGTTGGTTCGCTGCTGTCTGCGCGGCTATTGGTAGTTGCCGGGAGCAAGTGGAGGAGCGGCGATGCCGGAGGCGGGGCCAGGCAAGAGTGACGACGACCTAGCTTTGGCGGATTTTTTTGAGGATTAATATTATTTTTATGGAAAATCGCAAAAGTAGTGGCCAACCGGGGAAAATCGCGAGAGTAGGTCCCTGTCGAACGGGTGCAATTCGATAGGGCACCTATCGAACGACGGGCAGTCGACAGAGCCCTGTCGAACGGCTGGCGTTCGACACGCTCGCCTGTCGAACGGAGAGAGTTCGACAGGGCCCACCACCCCGCGCCGCCAGGCCTGTCGAACCGGGGGCGTTCGACAGGTCCCTCCACCGACCCTGTCGAACAATGGGCGTTCGACAAGCCGGTTTAAAGCCCCGTCTCCCCAGCCCGCGATGCTTGTTCGATTTATTTGAGGACCACATCGCCAGCCGCCGTCGAGAGTCGCCACATCGTCGCCGTGAGCGCCGGAGGGAGCGAGGGGAGGGAATAGCAGGCCGGAGAGGAGGCGCCGGCCGGGAGGAAAGGGTTGGCGACGCCCTCCAGCAGTGAAGTTAAGGTATACATTAGTAATCCCTAAGTACAACGCATATGAAAGTTTAATAAAAAATTGGTTTAAGAGTTGTTAATTGTTTCGCATTGTTCGATGTTAGTATGTATGGTTAGCACATATTTGTTATTGCTAAATGTTGGTAGAGGTATTTAAGTAATTGTACGGTTAAATTAGTTCTTAGTTAGTACATATTATTGATATGTTGTGTGTTAAAATATGTACAAAGGTGTTATATTTTATTTGGATTATTAAACTAGTTGTTTGTTACTAATAGTTGTAAATTAGTACACGGCAATGTAGTATAAGTTGTAATAGGGTAATTATCGAATGATTAAATGATTAAACGTGAGACTATTTGTCATGTTTTATCAGGATGTCAGGTGATATGCCCATTCGTCTGTATTATGGCGATGCTCCTATACAAATATGTGATAGCGGGGTGGATTTGACTCTATATGCCTTCCATGATACTAGTCTGAATGCACCGGAGCATATGGGTTTGAACGACGTGTTAGGGTGGTTGTATAATATGTTTGGGGTAGATCCAGTGCACGATAAATTTGTCATAAATGCCGTGTGGCCAGTGAGGGGTCAACATGGATGGCAGTGGAGAGTAGTGGAGGTTGCGTCAACTGGGAGTTGGAGGAAGTTTGTTAGTAAAGTAAGGGAGAAAGGCTATAGCCTGGCAATAGTGGTGCAGAAGACAAAATGTGTTGATCGATCGGGGGAGTCAAGTCATGCCGTGGTGGAAGAAACTCCGTTGGAAGGTGGACAAGCTGAAAATGTTTGGCGGACTGAGCAAGGTCGAGGGGAAGAAGTAGTAGAGGGTAATACACAAGGAGAGGTCATTGTTCGTGGTACTAATCGTGAGGCCAACGACTCGGACGATGAAGAACCGGATTCGCCTATGCGTGTTGATGCAGCGGAGGAGAATGAGGCGGTAGTGGATCAGATGGAAGTGGAAAACTAGGAATACATTGCGCTTGTAGTGGAAGGAGAAGATACAACACTGTGGGACAACGAAACTTACATACCCGATAATTGGACGACCATATCAATGAGTCGTATGAAGGTAAACGATGGTTTAGATGCCCACTGGTGTTATGATAGTAAGCAGGTGAAAGTTGGACAGATGTTTCATGACAAAGGTCACTTACAAGATGCGGTGAAGAGGTGGGCATTTGTCCAGAAGCGTGAGTTCAGGGTGAAGGTTTCAAATAGGACGACGTATGACGTGAAGTGCATACAGGGTGGATGTCCTTGGAGAGTGCATGGTTACAAGACACAACATGACACTTTATGGGTAGCTTCGAGGGTTGAGCAACATACGTGTTTGTTGGAGAATACCCGTCTGGTGCACAGAAACCTGACAGCGGCATTTGTGGCACAAATGGTATATTCAAAGGTGGTTAGAAAAACATCTTTGTCCCCTTTCACCATAATGCATGACGTTGAGAAAGAGTACGGATATGAGATATCGTACGACAAGGCTTGGAGGGCAAAACAGAAAGCATTGGAGATGAGGTTTGGAACTTATGAGGATTCTTATCACAATCTTCCCCCACTATTGGAGGTGATGCAGGCAAGAAACCCGGGCACACACATGGCTATTCTCGATGAGGTGAATGAATATGGGGAGAATGTTCTTCGTCGGGCTTTCTGGTCATTTGGGTGCATGATAGAGGCCTTTAAAAATTGCATTCCTTTGCTCTGTGTTGATGGCACTTTCATGACAGGCAAGTATAGAGGAACAATTCTAACTGCGATCGGAGTCGACGCGGATAGCCATGTCGTTCCTGTTGCTTTTGCATTTGTTGAAAGCGAGAACACATCAAGCTGGCTATGGTTTTTGCGGCACATTAAAATGTGTGTTGTTGAAAACAGACCAAATGTGTGTGTTCTGCATGACCGACACGCCGGTTTGCTATCAGCGATACAGAAGCTTCAAGAAGATGTCACACAGTCCGTGCCATGGCCAGATTTACATAGCAGATGGTGCATGCGACATTTTGGGGCTAATTTTTATAGACAATTCAAGAGTAAGAGATTGATGGACCTGTTCAAGAAGTTATGCAAGCAGAATCAACAAAGAAAGTTTGATGCCATATGGGAGCAACTGGATCGTTTGACCACTACACACATGGAAGAGGTTAGGAAAAAACCCATAGTTGCCAGACAGGAGGAGACGGAGGGACTTGAACCCATTCCTAATGAAGCACCAAGTATTACTCGGCGCAGGAAGCGTGGAAGGGCCACGAAGTGCTTCACGGAGTGGGTAGAATTTGAGCCAAGGGAGAAATGGTCGTTGTTGTACGATACAGATGGATCGAGGTATGGTGTGATGACAACAAATCTTGCTGAAGTGTATAATTGGGTTATGAAGAATACACGACCTCTACCACTTGTTGCTATCCTGGAGGGCATCACGAGGGGTACACAGAAGTATCTCTGTAAAAGGTATTCCATGGCTAGTCTGAACCTCAGCAAACCCAGTGTTAAGTATAGCCCCGCTATTACACAGTACATGGATGAGAAAAGTAAGAAGGGAGGAATCCACAGAGTGTGGCCTGCTGGGAATAGAGAGTTGTTATTTGAGATACGACTTCGTGACAAGAGTGGTGTCGGCATTGGGACTACTGACATCACATTGGAATGCACGTTGTGGCCAGAGTATCACGCTTGCAAATGCAATTGCAACAAGCCTTACCTGTTACATCGGCCATGTTCCCATGTTCTTGCTGCTTCCGCAAAAGGGGGTATTGATGGAAACATTTTTGTTTCTCCCTACTTTAGAAAGGAATCGTGGGAGGCAACTTGGCGTGGTGAATTGCGTGGTTGGCGTGCCGTGTGTGATTTCACTCGTCCTCCTCCAGGGCAAGCCAATTGGGTTCCTGACTCAAATTTATTAGTTGATACTAAGGGTCGTCGCCAGTCACGCAGGATCAAGAACCTTATGGATGAAGCTGAAGTGAAAGATCGTTCTCGTCGTAAGAAAGCTTGCATTCTTTGCGGGGAGAACCATTCCCGTAAAGATTGCAGCATGTACAATGTAGGGCAAGATGCCACAGGCGCTGATGTTCGTCGCGTTCCAAAGGGGAAGTCGAAGAAGAAAAATAATCCTTAATTCGCTATTATCATTGGTGGACTCCCTACTTTGAAGATCGTTATCGTTCAATTTATGTTTAGTGCGTCTGTAATTTTAATTTGAACTTTCTTGCACTTTTATTACCCGAATCTATTTGTAATGGCCTTGTAATTTTCATTTTGAACTGCACTGCACTTTTAATATCG